TATTTCTTTTATCATATTTTTAATTAAGAAATATTAGGCAGATAAATACTTTAATGAAAAATATTCAATCATCTTATTGATTTGGACTGTTTATAATGAATTTTATAGCCTTGTCAACGAACTTTCCGGACAGCCCTCGTAGTGACCCAGGCAGTATAATTATACAGGTTCAATAGTGATCTATTAAAGATAGAATGGAAATACTTTACCTCTGTCTTAAGTGTAGGTCGTCCTCCATGTACTACATGTACATTGATATTGTTTATCTCTGTCAATGGCTGCCGACATGTTAACAATTCAAACATGAAACATCCCAAATGAAAATATGTCCAACCTGAATCATGAAAACAAAAATATTACATATGATTAAATGCAAAAACAGTACTAACAAGGCAAGTGTGAAGGACAGCTAAAATCCCCTTCCGCAGCAGACATGAATGTGTACTTCTTGACCTTTAACACGACCATGTTGTGCAATGCATATCATAAGCACATTTGCTCATCACGAAAGCTCTGTTTTCAGGTATTGACCCCAATTATCTTCCATATTTAGAAGGTAAACTACATTTGCAAAGTCTTGAACCATGGGTTATTTAAGACATTAAAGTTTAGGCAAAATTGCTGTTTCCCATTGGATTTAGTGATATGTCCTGTTTTAACTTATAATACTTTGATTGTGAGTATAATGTATTATTTGTTACAGTTTTCAATGTTTTACAAAATCATTCAGGTGAAAAATTACAAGACTGATGGTTATGTTTATAACCTTGACCATGGGGGGTAGCCACCTGATTGTTGCCCCTCTGTAGGTGATGATGATTGGTGATTATCAGCGACAATATAATTAAAAAATTTCAGAAGTTTAAAAGTTATGAAGAGGACACAAAATTGTTGTCTTTAAGCATTTGACCTCTATGTGTGACCTAGAACCTTGGGGGCTGTGACCTGAATATTGGGCTCCACACATCAGGTCATTATGGTAAACATTTGCTTGCAAAAGTCATTTTAAAAACTTATTAGTAGTTTAAAAGTAATTGAGTTGACAGGAAAAAATGTGGACAATATAATTTCACCTTTAAGTGTGACCTTGACCTTGAGGGTAGCAACCTGGATGTACCTTGGGGGGTAGCAACCTAGATGTTCGCTTTGCAGATTTGTGTCATGGTGGGAATCATTTGTGCCAAGTAATTTTAAAACCTTTGAATCATGTCAATAAGTTATAGACATGAATTATAGATGTTTTAACATTGGACCTTTAAGTTGACCTTGACCTTGGGTATAGCAACTCAATTATTGCACTCTGCACCATGCCTGATAATGGTGATCACTTAAGTTTAGTTATTTCCAAATTCTTTTAGCGGTTTAAAAGTTATGGAGCAGACATGAAAGTGTTACGGACGAACAGACAGACTGAGCCATTCCTATAATTTTGCAGAAGGGATTAACAAGCAGATGTGTTGAAATGTTATCACCTATGATGATACATATCATTTAATTGAAGCTTTTTAGTATTATGAACTTTAGGAGTCCAGTAAAAATGAATTTGATTTCTCTTCTTATGACCAAATGTCTGCAAAATTAAAAGTGTCATGCAAATTAGCTCTTACAGCAAACACATCTTTAAGTTACAAATGACATGTTTTTGAGATATAAGTACATTTGAATGACTTTGTGTTATGTCATTTAGTCATTTATTCAAAGTATATAACTGAGAAACACAATTATAGGGTTAAAGTGTATTGATCGAATATTATAAAATTTACTGAATCTAATTAGACCAGATATGAATTATATTTGATTACAATAATAGGGTTATTATAAGAGTATCTTGATCAGAACAGTTCTTGACTTAAGTGAAGTCTACTTGAAGAGGATCTCACAAAGTACTGTATCTCCCAATGAAATATGTTCTAGTAAAATCCATAATTCTCTCAAAATCTAGGTAAGAGTTATAGGCCTTTGACAGTGAATTCCTTTTACGCTCATAAATAAGTGTGTGAAGTTTCAACCAATTCCCTTTGGTAGATTTAGAGATACCATCTTGCACACAAAAACTTAACCAAAGTGCAACACCGATATCTATGTGAGTACAATAGCTCTCCCTATTCTTTGAATACAGCTGATAATTTGAGTATATATATTAATATATACAATAGAGCTGATAATTGATATATATATAAAATATGTATAATCTTATCATACCTTTTCTGTATAAGTGTCTCTTCCAGTACGCATCAATATCTCCGGCGCTATAAAAGGTGGCGTTCCACCAAAACCTTAAGTTCCCCCTGGCAACACAGACTTACTTTGCCATAGTCTGCTAATTTCACAAGAACGGGTTGTCTAGGGTCAAGATCATTTTGTCCTGGTAGATTCCAGGCAAGAACGTTGTCAGATTTGAGATCTCGATATATTATATTGCGACCGTGGATATAATCTAAAGCATCTGCAACCTAGGGAAAAAATATGCCTTTAATGATAATATAATATCAAAATACATACAATACTTTCATTTTTTGGTTTAGTTTTACATTGCACCATCACAGTAAAGGTCAAATTGCCACTTTATAGCTGTACTGGCACACTTTGTGCATAATTTCAGGCCATAACGGGCACCTGAGTAAAACCACCAATGTTGTGTAAGCTAATTCAAAAGCTTCCTCACATGAAAGAATCCAAAGTCCTTGGTTGGATCCAAAACCAAAGCCACTATAAATGGTATACAGTTGGATTACTTTTTGTTAACATGAATACTCAATTAATGTCACTGTAAAGTGAAACATAACAATCATTCTTTTAAAGAATATACCTCAAATAAATACATGGAAAATATCCAATTATAAGTTTATAATTGTTCTGCATCTTGCATAATAATTGTTTGTAATCTCACAATTAATACCATAAGTATATTTTATTGATAGTTGATTATTTAGACAAAGCTAGCTGAAAACTACAGGTATCTAGCATCAAAGAAAATTTACTGTTACCTATCATTCCCATAGCAACCTAAACATCTATTTCTGGGTGCAGACAGATGAACAGACAAAGCTGTGAGAATATGCATGAATGTAAATAAAGGAGTACCCACCTGAATAACAACCTGTCTTATCACCCAAACAGGAAGACGAAGCCCATCTTTATGTCTATCCTCAAATATACTATGGAGAGAACCAAGAGGTGCAAGTGCAAGTATAAGGGCAAGGGGACGCCTGGAGAGACCAAGAAGTGGTACAATATGTGGATGTTCTACTGTCTGCAGGATGCTTACTTCCTGTCTTGCTGTGGTATATGCTGCACATATTGTCTCTAGGCAAATCTGACTTGTCTGATTAGTCTGCAAGGACCAACAAACATTATCTTAAAATATCTGTGGCGTTAAAACCAAACTGAAGTATACTGTTGAACAATACAAACTCTAACAAGAATATGTTTGATAAACACAAATGCCCTGGACTCAGACTCTTGTCTACTACACATGCTGATCAACATTTCTATAAAGTTTCATGACTCTAGGTCAAATACTTTTTGAGCTATGTGCGACACAAAAGAGAACGGACAAGGGTAAATCTAAATGCTCCTTCCTAAAGTGGGGGCACAAAAGTAATACAAAGGCTGTATAAAAAGTGTAAAAAATCTATTGTTAGCACAAGTGACCTCCCAGCATTGGACTATCCAAGACATGTTTCTTCCAAAAAACATCAGTCTATAAATAAAGGCTGTAAAAGCCATTGTGTAAATATCTATTTTTAGCACCCTTGACCTAGACCTGGCCTCTAACTCTATTCAAAGGAAGAAGACCATACAAGATATCTTCTTACCCATACATGTGACAGATGAAATGGGCCAAATCTGGATTTTCAGCTGGATTTTGAGACTCAAAACTGGATTTTTTAGCGACTCGAATTTCAATGCATGTTTGGCACATTTGCTTCAAAGAATCTATATTACGCTCAAAATCATTAAATTATTATATTTTTTTATGATTTTTTTGTTGATCAATATTAATTTATTTCACCAAAAAATAAATAAATAGAAAAATAAATAAGTGTGGTCGTACAGGTATTTCTAAAACAGTCACATTTTCAATTTTCACATTTCATTATTTTCAGTTTAAATAATTATATCTGTCTTTTCAGTCATACAATAATTGGCTAATAATTTAAAACACAAGACTCCGACAGGTAAATAACGTAACGTAAGTAGAAGACTCAAAATAAATGCAAGAACCGTTCAGTAAATTAAATCCACATTTTTGCCTCGATGATTGTATAATTCCTAAACAAAACAAAAAAAAATACCCACTCACTAAAAAGGTTAATTAGACATGGTTTTGTCGCATCTCAAACAGGTTTGTGAATGATCCACTTTAAATGATTCTGCTTACCTTTAATCTTTATCAGTGCGGCACTAATCAAAGGTTGAGCCGAATTCATACATGTAAATTTACAGGGTAGTTTTGATGACGTATTGATGACGTAGCGTGAAATACCTACTGCCAAATTAGAAAGGAGGTCAATTAACTGAACATGATAAATTTTGGGTGATGGAACTGTTTATTAGTCGCCTTGCTGTCAATTAGCGACTCAACATTTAATCTGCTGTAATTTAGGATATGGACAGATAACAATCAATGCCCAGAGGCACGGTTTACATTTTAGATACAGGTGCTGTGTTTGATTTTTTTTATGTTGATTTTTTTTTTAAATATCGGGAATTCAAGCTGTAATATCGGGAATCGGGATCAGTGTCGAAATATCGGGATTATTTTAAATCCCGCCGGGATATCACATGTATGCTTACCAAATATGAAAGTCATCAAAAGGATAAACATCAATTTTTCGCACTGGTGACCTTGGCTATATTTTAACATATATACATTCAGTAACATGTATCACAAATTCATAATACTGACAAAAAGTTCATTAATATAAAATAACACTACTTTACTATCTCCAGTCTTCATATGGCATTTATGGCACATTAAACAAAGTGTATTATAAGCCAAAATGACAATTCCATATATTTTTTTGGTATAATAATATGAAATACAGCATCGGCAACCAACCCTTTAAAGTGTATATACAACAAATTTTGTACAATATTTCAAATTTAAATAGATATCTTACAAATTAACTGATATTTGTCTAATTTGACAAAAAGATTTAAGAAGAAAAACTGACCTTTCTGCGTTCTTTATTGTTAGGATCATACAGTACTTTCACAGCAACATCTATCACCAAATGCTCACTCTGTGAAATATTTTTAATATTTTTAACTGACAGAAAAGAAAGCTGATATACACAAATTATTTCTAGTGAAAGCAAATGTTCAGGTGGATCTAACCCTTATCACTAATTTATAATTTTATTTATTATATGATCTAAATATAGCTGCAATCTCATTGGTCCAAACAGTAGTCAACAGAACTTTTTATAAAATCATATTCACTGGGTGTAGTATCATATTCACTGGCTGAATTGGATGTTCCCAGTCTAAAAATAGATTGAGACTCATATTAAATGATCATACACCGTAGACTGTTAATTATGCGTGTTTATTAAAAAATAATTGTTGCTTTATGTTCTTTATGGCATATTTCTCGATTAAAATATCAATACTTTACTATTATACTGAAAGGCTACACCGCAATGATGAGTATAAATTTGAATTATTTTTGTATGTGCAGCGTTCGTGTAGTTGTTGCACGCCTAACACGTGCATCTTTTTTCCCGCGCTTCAACAAGGCAAAATTTGTACATGTATATAAGGATGTACTTTTTGTGATTTTGTTATTTATTTCTTAGCCTATTCATTGATAAAACAATTATTGACTAGTGAGCCATTGAATATGATGTGATATTCACCGGCAGAAAGTCATATTGACCAAGGCGATCATCTGCCGGTGAGTATCACATCATATTCAATGGCTCACTAGTCAATAATTGTATGATAGTATACATGTATATACAAGAATGAATAAAAAAAACAACTTCTTTATATTAATATTAAAGAAACACCAAAAACACAAAACATTTCCTAATATTAATATTAAAGAATCATAAAAAACACAATACATTTCTTAAGAAACATCAAGCACAATTTTTGAAACAGTTACTGTTTCAAGAACATTTAAATTCATTTATCCCTTAAATTATGTGCTTGAAATGAAAGCATTTAGCCTTTGCCACAACTATAGAGCAAGCTAGGTCAGCAGTCCATGTTATATGTTGTTGTTAGCTCAATTTTTGTATTTTGATCTTTAAATCCCTTGAAATAAGAATGTTAAGAGTTTTCTAAGCTACAATTCAGCAGGTTAAGAGTTAAGAAATAAACTTATTTAAAGTATCAAATGATGGTATATATTATTGTATGTGTATTTACTTACCCTTTTCAGTATGCCCTTTGACACCGTACCAAAAGCACCTTGTCCCAGTTTATCAGTAGCTTGTATGGCGTCATCTTCTACAACAAATGTTTCATCTAAATCTTGAAACACCTGAAAAATATTTTCATCACTTTATAAAACAAGAGAGTCTCTGCTGTATTGTAAGTTTTTATTCTAATATTTTAAACCAAAATACAACTTACATTATCATTTTAATTCTTTAATATTACTCCAGATTCCTGATTTCATGTGATATACTTGTCCTAGTTTGTATTTAGATCTGTTTGATGAATTTCAGATACTCTTGAAATGAAACAAGAACGTGTGTAGTAAACACAAATGCCCCCAGCCCAGATTCCTGTCATTTACAATTTTCCAAAAAAAAGGTTTAACTCAGTTATGGTAAAAAAAAACAATAATTACGACACAGTTATATAACATGACACTAATTGACAGAGTCATGTTTGTTATTGTGAAAAATATAAGTAAGTATGTCAATGCTATTTGATGAAATAGAAATTTATCGAATATTTATATAAAACTAGAAGTAGTTTTTGTCACAAAAACATATCTCGCACAACAAGGTATGGTAATGGTCACTCCTATGAAGTGATGTCGGAATCCCACCAACAGTTTGACCTGTGAAAGTCATTATAGCCCTGGCGACCATTTTGTGCAGTGATACGAAATGTGCCGACAATATGCACAACTACTGATGACTCTGATAACTCATGTGATGTTTCATTTAAATCCCACCAGCAGTTTGACCTGTGAGAACTGGACAAGATTTTTTATTTATAGCTCTGGCGGCCATTTTGTCCAGCGAAGTGGAACATGCCAGCAACTAGGGATGGTACTGATTACTCCTGTGAAGTTTCATTCAAATCCTGCCAGCAATTTGACCTGTGAAAGCTAGAAAAGCATAATGTGGACGGATGTATTTACAAAATGGTACTTATGTGAGTTTTCTTTTGATCTTTTTAGTCATATTTAGTCACACAAGGTCTAAAAAAAAGACACACAAGTAAAAACAGAATAAATAGCATCAAAGAAAATGTACTGTTACCTATTTTTCTCCAACTCACACAAGTACCTCTGTGTTTGTACTGACGGACAGATGGACATACAGACAGACAGCAAATGCAAAATCAATATGTCTCCAAAAAATGGTTTGAAATCTTTAACACTTTCATAATTATTCATTTCATTACACAGACAAAGACACATACAGTGATAGAAAATATTGTTGTTGTAAATATCAAATTTTGGTTATGTCATTTCATGTTTCAGAAGAGCAATATACTTACAGCATCTGGAGCTATATGTATTAGCCTTGTTACCCCATCTTGTCCTGGCATAAAACTAGGTGACACTGAATCGTGCACCTTACATATTTCATCTAGACCTTCCAGTACATTTTTGATACATTTTTCTACCAGGAATGTACACATCACTCTATGTTTCACTTCTATCTCTACATCAGCTGGGTTAATACTGGCAGTATTTTCATGTTTGTTATGTACGTCACTCCGGATACTGACCAGCTGTGGGGGTTCTGAACCTCCAGAACATAACTCCCAAGCTCCTTAAATAGACAGAATTGCACACATATCAAAATGGAAGGTTATTATAAAATACATTGTATCTTGGTATTACATTTTTAGCTCATTACAAGAACTTTTAAATCAAAATTAAATGAAAATTAAAGAGACTTTATGTTCATTTTTTTACTGTCAAGCTGTGTGTGAAAAATAGTTTCAAATTTCAAAAGATTGACTATTATAATAGTGATATTTAAGATAAATTACAAAAACTTTCTAACATATAAAAACGCTTTTTTTTCATTGAACATTACCGATATTTATAGATTTTTATGTATATCACAGGGGTTATTGACTATTCAGGTGTCATTTTTTATTAAAATGAAAACAAAAATGACAAAATAATATAATTTTTTTTTGAAGTTTTTAATATCTGATTAAATACCATTTACTCTTGGATTGACATAACTTCACACAATTTGTGGCTAATTTCATGGACAACACAGATAATCAAGAATTAGCATTTTATTCATAAACAAGTTCATACCAGTAAGGTCTTTAAGCTCTCAGACCTATTAAATGTAAACAAACAAATAATAAGAGCCAGACAGGGACAATGCTCGACATATTTTTACCTTTTCTAAAAGCAAACAAATAAAACAGTTTAAACAAATCTTTGAATTAAAGAAACAAGAGGGCCATGATGGCCCTGAGGTCGCTCACCTGTATATAGGCCCCCGGAGCGGGGCCAGTTTAAACCCCAGGGCTTTTATTTGAACAAACTTGGAAGACACCCATTAGAAGATGTTTCATGATGTTAAGTTTTTACTACACACATATAATGAAAAACAATGATCTCTGCGCCCCCCGGCAGGGCCAATTTTAACCCAAAGGCTTTTATTTGAACAAACTTGGTAGACACCCAAAAGAAGATGTTTCATGTTAAACATCTTACCTCTAGCTCATTGGGTTTTTTAAAAGAAGATTTTTTAAGTTTTTACTATACACATATAATTAAAAACAATGACACCTCTGGGGCGGGGCCAGTTTTGACCCCAGGGCTTTTATTTGAACAAACTTTGTAGACACTTACTAGAAGATTTTTCATGCTTAATATCTAAACTCTAGCTATTTGGGTTTTTTCAAAGAAGATTTTTAAGTTTTTGCCATACACATATAAGGAAAACAATGACCCCCGGGGGTGGGGCCAATTTTGACCCCAGGGCTTTTATTTGAGCAAACTTTGTAGACACCCATTAGAACATGTTTCATGCTAAATATCTTAGCTTTAGCTCTTTGTGTTCTTTAAAAGAAGATTTTTAAGTTTTTACTATATGCATATAGGGAAAATCAATGACCCCCTGGGGCGGGGCCAATTTTGACCCCAGGGCTTTTATTTGAACAAACTTGGTAGATACTCATTAGAAGATGTTTCATGCTAAATATCTTAGCTCTAGCTCTTTGGGTTCTTTAAAAGAAGATTTTTTAAGTTTTTACTATATGCATATAGGGAAAATCAATGACCCCCTGGGGCGGGGCCAATTTTGACCCCAGGGCTTTTATTTGAACAAACTTGGTAGATACTCACTAGAAGATGTTTCATTCCAAATATCTACGCTCTAGCTCTTTGGGGTTTTTAAAAGAAGATATTTAAAGTTTTTTCTTTTGGTTGCCATGGCAACCAGAGTTCTGCATGGAATTAAATTCTTTTAACAATTTTTGAAGGTGACCACCAAAGGAACATTCCTGGGAAGTTTAGATGAAATTGGCTTAGTGGTTTATGAGGAGATGTCATTTAAAGTAAAAGTTTACGGACGGACGGACGACGGACGGACGAAAAGCGATCACAAAAGCTCACCCTGTCACTTTGTGACAGGTGAGCTAAAAAACATTAAAATTTTCCTTTTTTATTTTAATAGGTCTGTCATGTCACACTTGTTGATTTGTCCAAGTATGAATCATTCCCATAAAAAATGACAAAGTTTAGAAAATAAAAACAAACTTCAATCAACTGACCTTGATGGTCAAGGTCATTTAAAAGGTGATATCTAATTTATTCAACATGTCCCCTTGGTGATTTTTTGTCCAGGTATGAATAAATCTGTACATAACAAAACTGTGAAAACTTAACCAAATTTAATAATTTGACCTTGACAGACAAGAACATTTAAACCTCAAGGTCAAGGTCAGTTCAACTTTTTATGTCTTGTCCAAAACGTTGTAATGACCAAGTATGAAGATAATCCATTTATTAATTACCCAAGTTACAGACAAATATAGCAATAATCAGTAAAAATTCAATAATTTTACCGTCAAGGTCATACACAAGTAAAGGTTAATTTTAGTTTGATATACATCAAGGTCCTTACATAAAAGATGTTGTGTCTAAAAATGAAGTTACCCCCTCCAGTGTATAGGTTGGGGGCATGATGGTGAACAAGTGTTTAAAGTTTCAAAGCAATATATAAATGAATTTCCAAAATATCTGAGGATGTACGCAAACTTAAGTGTAAATTCTATGTTGATAAAGGGGCATAATTCTGTCAAAATGCTTGATAGAGTGACCTCCTCCTGTGCAAAGGTTGGGGGCATGATGGTGAACAAGTGTGCAGAGTTTCAAAGACATATTTATGGACTTTGAAAATATTTAAGATGGTACGGTACTTTAACATAAGTGGTTACACCGACGACAACACCAACGTTGTAGGGACTAGAATAGCTCTCCTTACTCTTCAAAAATCAGTGAAAATTCCAAAATTTCACCTTCGAGGTCATAAATGAGCCAAGGTCAATTTCAAATTGATATACATGTACATGAAGGTCTTATCCTAAAGAATGCTGTGTCTTAATATAAAGTCAATCCATTCATCAATGACCAAGTTATAGCCAGTAACAACAAAGAAAATTTCAATAATTTCACCTTCGAGATCAAGGTCATTTATAAATGAAGGTCAGGATTATGGCCAAGTATGAAGGCAATACACTAAGAACTTAAAAAGTTATGACCAATGTTACAGTTTTGGGGATGGCAATGGGAACGCCGTCATGACTATAACAATACTACTATTTTTTTCTTCGAAAAAAAGTCAAGCTAAAATTTACAATGATACATTCTTGTGCTTTTATGTTATTTAAATAAAGAGGCATTTTTACCTGAGGGATTTTCTTGATAACTAATTTCAGCTTGTAAACACAGTGGGCATGGAACCACTCTCGTTACTAGGTAACGGCCTTGACAACTCTGAATAAATCTTGACTCTCCAATCTCTGGAAACCAGTCCTGTAACAGGCAGTCTATATGCTCTACAACCTTGGCAAGGACTGCAGTTTTTGCTTTCTCATCATGGTAAATGTTTCTTGGCTCAATAGATCTAAACTGTGTGGAACCAGTGGGGTCATGATATCCCATAAAATAAGTAATTTTATCTGCTTTGAAAGATATTTCCAGAATAACACTATCATTAACATCCAGTTCTCCCCATTGACTATCAAAATGACATTCAATTTTTAGATCATCTTGGGTGTAGTTACACATTCCTCGTGCATAATTTGATGTATTTCTCACTTCTTTCACCTGCATTATCACATTACCAAAATATACAAGTTCAAAACCAGTTTGCCAGCATCTCCAGTTTGGCGTTTCCTTTTGAATATCAGGGCACTTGTCAACAATATCTTGTGGAAACTGGTACATCCTCATCACAGGATCATAAAACAGTTCATCAGCTAAAATTCTGGTTATAAGCCTTGGCCAGAATCCACTAGGAAAGTATGTAAGGAGATAAAGACGTGTGTTGGAGAATGCTGGGTTACTACTTGGTTGGGTACTAACTATGTACATGAGCTGTTCCTCCGACATATTTCTGTTTGTGGAGTTAAACAGCCTACCTATACTGGCTTGACTCTCATTCATAACATTAACTGGTACGCCCTTTCTCCTTACTGGAATCTGGAAATAAATACCCTCATTAAATATAATATGCTCACAAAGGTCACATATATAACTCATCAATATTTTGATATAAAACAAAATAAAGACATATATATCTCACCAACAAGTGATCAAATACAGGTATTGCTGAATATCTAAGCATTTTTCTACTATTGTACTATCATCTTAACCTTATATATAGGTTGCTTTATAAGTCAAAATAAACACACACACAAAAAAAACCATACAGATATAATTTCAGATTGACTGACTTATTGACATTCTATTAAAATAGCCTGAAGGGTCATTAGTTAAGTTATTTTCTTTTGTTCATAGGGTCATAGCAGAATTAATGTATTGTTTGTTTACTGTTATATAGTCCTGAAACCTAACCTTGTTGTTCAGAAAGGCAGACAGACAGACAGACAGACAGACAGACATCAAGGCAATTACTATATGACCACATTCAGGGATATAAAAGAAGAAATACCTCTCTCATATTTTCTGGCATTAAGTTTAAATCTGTAGGTAGAAGTGAAGGCAGAAGAAGATGTTCACTATCAAACTGTAATGCCACCTCAAACTTGTTTAGTAAGCTGAGAATATACTGACCAATCTTGTCTGAGTTCCTGTACAGTTGATACATGTCTCTTAATTTCATGACACCTGCAGGTGAAACAATAACAATGTATGGATACATGATGGTCCTTTTATTACATGCTTTTCGGTGGTTTATAGAAATATATCAGTGATATGAAACTGGTAATTACACTGTTTGAAATAGTGAAATTACCACTTTGATAATTTCACTGTTTTGAATTTAAGCCCCTTACGTTGTTTCAGTGAAATACCAGCGTGCACAGTACTGGGTACCAACTTAATGAAGTAATGTCGTAAATGACGTCATGTTGTATTATTATTTGTCGCGCTTTTCATTCAGTATTAGGTTTAATGTCTTTTTAAAACGTTTCTTTGCATGTAATAAAAAGAAAATTTGTTTAGTTTAGTGAAAGATCGAAATATATTTCACCTTGTGAACACCAAAAGTTCATATTTCACTCGTGGCTGCGCCACTCGTGAAATATACCTTTTGGTGCTCACTCGGTGAAATATATTCAGATCTTACACAGAACTAAACAAATATTCTCTATTTATTGCTCACCTGATTATTGAGGCTCTGAATTAATATTGTTAGCAATGAATGAAAGGCAGATATGATGCCATAAACTTAAACTGATATCATAACATTCATATCTGCACCTGAAATAGTGCAAATGTTAATAAGGTTTTTTCCATATATGCATTTTTATGTCCTGTGACCTTTTTAAATCTCAGATGACCCTAAAGCAGATTTAGACATTTACTTTTTATTTATATAAATATTTTCTGGATATATTTAGTCATCATAAATTCAAAGATAATAATTAAAACTCTATTTATTTTCTTGGTATGAATGCAAAAGCTTGTTTCATCTTATCAAAGGGAGATAATTAAGCCAGAATAAATGCTCTCTGATGCATACATCTATAAAAGCTTGTGAAAATGAGTGACCCCGGAGAGCCAAATTTTTTCCAAGGTTCATCAATTAGATAACTTAAGTAGAGGATCCACAAGGCAATGCTACATATCAAATATCTAAACAGTGGACATTTTAGTATTCAAATGAGGGCACCACAGCAAGATAATATCTTTAGAGGTGAAATCAAATTAGATCTATTCGTGGAAAATTTCTACAAAACAATGAACATTCCAGTGACTGATCTTAATTAGAGAATAAATATAAGTTTATATTACCCACCATTTTTACAATATTGTTGCACCTCTTTAATAGAGACAACTCTAGCTAGTTGGTCACACAACCACTGAGGCTCCAGAAAGTATTGATCTCTTAAGGACATGTCTTCAAAATGACACAATACACCTGAAAAATTATAAACAAAAATACATCTTAACCTTTCCATATAAACAGAATATTACATGAGCTGGAAATCCATATTGAACTAGAAGGGTTTATTGTCACAAATACATATGTCTCCAAAAACTAGGGATGAAACTTTGAAATTTCATTGAAATCCCAGCAGCAGTTTAATCTGTGAAAGCCTGACAACATTTTTCTATTTTTAGCTCTGGTAGCCATTTTGTGCAGTGAAGCAGAAGATGCCGATAATATGCACAACTAGGGATGGTACTAACCATTCTCCTGAGAAGTTTTGTGGAAATCCCGCAAGGAGTTTGACCTGTGAAATTCGAACAAGATTTTCCTTTTTATATCTATGGCTTCTATTTTGTGCAGTGAAGCAGAACATGCCCACGATATGCACAACAAGGGATGGTACTGATCACTCCTATAAAGTAATGTTTAAATCCCTCCAGCAGTTTGACCTCTGAAAGCTTGAAACGATATTTTTATTTGTAGCTCTTGTGGCCATGTTGTGCAGCGAAGCGGAATGTGCCGGTGATGTGCACAACTAGGGATGGTACTGATCACTCCTATGAAAGAGTTTCATTGAAATCCCGTCAGCAGTTTGACCTGTGAAATCTGGACAAGCCTAATGCCGACAGATGGACAGGTAGATAGCGAATGGAAAAACAATATGTCTCCAAAAAATATTGTCAGACATAATATAATAACATAGTATGAAGCAAAGTGTCAGGTAAATTTCATACAGTTTGATTCATATTATTCAATAAATTTTATAACAAATCTACATGAATTTAACATTTTATTTATTACATACCCTGAAAAACATTTCTGTTTGACCATGCTAAAATAGTCAAGTAACACACATATAATTAGGCTCGTTTGCATATTCAATACACAGTCATGCCATACCTATTAATTGATTTGCCAAACTAGCACTGATATGAGATAAATTATTTTATCAGGATAGTATAATATAGTACAGCAGAATACCTACTGAAGACAACCCCAAAATTAAGACCACCCTGCTATTAGACCATTTTTTAAAAGAATGGAATTTTCTGTTCTTTATGTCAGTGTACTGTCAAATGAGTTTATTGTTAACCTGAGAAGGAAACAGTGTACACTAATAATACCGGTAAAACTTTTGATTAGAAAATAGATATGTGGAATCAAAATATACCATTTTCATGTAGAAATCTTGTAGCTTGATTAAGGTCCTCCTTATTTCTGAAACTGGTTGTAGTTTCATCTTTAGACATTTCCTCCATCACACTTAGACTGAAATTATAACAGAAGAACACTGAACTATGTTAACTTACTGGTAAAAGTAATAAAATCATACAGGAAATAACTTGATAATTTACAAATAGATATTATAATTACTAACAGATATTTTTTTTTCTTCAGATCCGAACATGAGTTACAAAGCTTACAACTTCAAAAGTACGGTAGGTCAAAATTATAAAGGTTATATACCATTTTACATGCACACAAACTCTATATTTGATCATAAAGAATATAATTATGTAAGCCTTACAGCTTTAAACGAATACAACAAGTCTATGCTAAATTTATAACCCTTGGGCATTGCCATTTTTACAAAAGCAAGTTATTTACATAACTTTTGCAAAGACAATTAAGTAATGCTACATACTTAAATATCTCTAGGTCATACAGTAACAGAGAAAAAAATTGTAGTATGTTTTCCTATGTAAGTCTATCTGTCTGTGCATCATAGTTTTACACAAGATTTAAATGTGTTTTATGTGTTTTTTCTATACAGGTCTATGTTAACCAGGTGGCATAAAGGGCCAGTTTATTTTTTGATCCCACAGGCATGACTTACATATCCTTTGTAGAGGACCATAAGGTATTGCAACATACCAAATACGTAAGCTCTCGATTTTATACTTTCTAAGGATTTTTGAGAAATTAGTTCATGTAAACTAAGTGACACATTGGGTGGGGAAATATTTGATTTTCTTTTGTAGAGGTCAAGACAATGCTACATGAAAAATATCTAAGCTTTGGTCATTGTAATTTCACACAAGAATATTTAAATTGGTTTTCTTGTATAAGTGTATGTAAACTAAGTAACCCCTAGGTTAGGGCAAACTGTGACTCCTGGGACAATATTTACTTAACTTTTGTAGAGGACCATAAGATGGTGCTATATGCTAGATATCTAAGCTCTGGGCATAGTAGTTTTTGAGAAAAAGATTTTTAAAGAATTCATTTTTGAAGTATTTTGATAGCAACTGTAAATTACTTGTGCATCAGACTGGAATATTTTAAGAGGGCCACCTTAGAATCATCCCTGTGAAAATTGGTCAAGATCATGTGGTTTCAGAGAATATTGTCGAAAGAAATTGTATATAAAATTGTATATATACAAAGGGACAACAGATGACAGTCATCATGCAATCACAAAAACTCACCTCTGAGCACTTTGTGCTCGGATGAGCTAAAACATGAACCAGAATAATTCATAAACAAGAATTATAATAATAACTTACAACTAAGAATGACAATAACTTACAGATAAGAATGACAATAACTTACAGATAAGAATGACAATAACTTACAAGTAAGAATGACAATTACTTACAGATAAGAATGACAACAACTTACATATAAGAATGATAATAACTTACAGATAAGAATGACAATAACTTACAGATAAGAATGATAATAAATTACAGATAAGAATGACAATAAATTACAGATAAGAATGACAATAACTTACAGATAAGAATGACAATAATTTACAGATAAGAATGACAATAACTTACAGATAAGAATGACAATAACTTACAGATAAGAATGACAATAACTTACAGATAAGAATGACAATAATTTACAGATAAGAATGACAATAACTTACAGATAAGAATGACAATAATTTACAGATAAGAATGACAACAGGGCTCGAGCTAGTGGGCGATTCGGGCGAAATAGTCGCCGAATTCCGTCTGACTTCGCCGACATCCTACATGAAAGCGAAGATGAAGTCGCCCGATTTTATTGATCCATTATTGAAAATTACCAACAATAACTGTGAATAACATGTTGTGTGTGTTTGCTTTGTTTACCCTCGCCACCGGAAAAAGGGACTGTCATGCATCTCAATCAACGCGAAATGTCATTAATCCGTTTGTTTACCAACATGTCATAAAAGTCTAATTAACAGACACTCGAGGAACAATTAGACTCCGCCCACGGCGAGATTACCGATACGTGCGAGAAACCAATCGTAATTCACGTTTTAATCGAGGCGACATTATTAAACCAATCATTAAATCGCTAACATACAACTACCCGTAACAATTATTTATGATGGACGGATCAAACGTCAATTAAATTTTCACTATCGAGTGATTGTCAGAATTAAGAGGACCGCTTGACATATAACTGTAACGGTAATTTTAAATGAAAGTTATGATAACCTTTTTTGTCGACGAGTTAAATTTGATAAAATTGACGGCGTATTACACTGTATTTATTACAAATGAAGTTAAATTAAAGATCGTTTCTTTCGTTATCTACTTTCATTTTCTTTACAACATAAGTGAATATGAATATAATGTCCGGCGCAAGCTTTTTAATAGTAAATCAGAAGGGAATAACTGTTAATCCACCCATGATATGATCCATGATAGGAATCAACTATGGCTTTTTTATCTTCATTTAATGCAATGGTTGCATTACATGATACTCATTCTAATTACTTGTTTCAAACTACTTTTAAAATTGAATATTCTGTTGTAACACAAATCCAATTCATTTAATAAGATATGTACAGTGAGTCAACATAATTGCGATAACATACAACAAACATCGATAAATGAATCTCCTCACTTCTCCCTAAAATCTCCCCACTTCTCCCTAAAGCAGCTGGAGGGAGAAGTGACTTCTCCCTAAATTTTGAACCTAGCTTGAGCCCTGGACAATAACTTACAGATAAGAATGACAATAACTTACAGATAAGAATGATAATAACTTACAGATAAGAATGACAATAACTTACAGATAAGAATGACAATAACTTACAGATAAGAATGACAAATAACTTACAGATAAGAATGACAATAACTTACAGATAAGAATGACAATAACTTACAGATATGAGTTAGAATCACAGACTGGTTCCTTATTATTGTTTTTCTGATGCCTCACAATTTCACTGATAACAGACTGTAACTTCATATACTTCTTTGGTACCTTATGACCTAATAAGTTCTCACTCCTTCGAGCTAAAATTAATACAAAATAAAAACTGTGTGTATTTCTTTTTATGTTAACAATCTTGAATTATATTAATATATTAAACTTACCATGAATCCACCTTTCATGAAGTTACAAGACAGAATTGTTTGCCTATTATTTAGATAAAAAATGGGAGCCTCCAACAAGTTTGTGTAATAAATTTCAAACATTAACACTTTTTATCTGTTTGAAGATTTGAAAGGTAAAGTATTAAGTCACAAAACATATAACTCGGCTATAAAGGTCAATCAAATAATGACCTTCTTACAGACAAATAGATAATTAAACTATTTATTTATGTTTACTGCTTATACAGGCATTCTTATTGTGGTAATGTCTTCACACTTATATTTTATATGTAAATACAGTAAACTCTGCTTATAACAAACTCATTGGGACATTCAAAATGTGTTCCTTATATCCCGAGTTCCGTGTAAGCATTTAGCGAATAAGTTTCTTGTATCGGGAGTTTTTATAGTGAACAGATTTATATATAACAAACTGACTGTTTACCATCGTTCTCCATTTTAAAGAGTATTTAATTTTGAAAAATAACTCATTATAATAGACAAGGTTTCGATTTTCCTTCTTGAATATCTTCTCTTATATTTTATATTTTTTATAATATTTTACTTATGAAAGATATAGATTTCTATTCCTTTTCAATCAAACATACTTTATATTTTTCAATGGATTTTACTCAAGAAATAGCATGCGTAATTATTTTCCTCGAGCAAAACTATTTAAGAAAAGAAATAATGGAATAAAATGAATAATTGTTTTATCTTGGTAACAAGAACTCATGCTAAAAATATCCTAGATAGAAAACTATTACGTACTGTTATACAAATTCATTTTCACAGCTGTATTGAAGTACATACAACAATAAACGGTACATTCGATAGAGTTGTAATCCATGCTGATAAAAACATAAGTAGAAAATGCCGGATCTATTTACGGATAGCCAATATTTTGGCGTTTGTTATGAAAGTGTAATTTTCTGTACTTTTTACTTAATTGGGACTAAAAAGTGAGTTCATTTTAAGCCATAATTCCTCATAATTGGTTTGCTGTAACTATATTTTTATATTAAACAAGCAATTATCATAGTATTGCAAGCAATCCATAAGTCCCCTACCGGTTAGAACCCCAGCAACATTCTGATGGGCCATTGGCCATTCAATTTTACCAGTGAATGAATGACATGAATGAACTTAAATCTTTTGAGTTCTAAGTTTGTCTATATCATAGTAATGTGTTAAGTTTCTTTGCCTAGTAAGGAAATTATGTTTATACAACCTTGTCATATTATTACAATGTGGGATTTTAAAGTAAATCCTATAAGGAATGAAGAAGTTGGAGTGAAAAATACCAATTTCTCGAAAAAAATCTAAGTTCAAGGGGGACATAATTCTGGAAATAGTCTTGCTAGAGTATTTAACCATCTCAAAAATGTTGAGTGATAATAAAAAACATATATATGAAGTTTGAAGTAGATACATTAGGAAATAAAAAAGTTATTTAAAAATAATAAAGAAGTTATTTAAAAAAGACAACATTTTTTTTCATAAAAATTCTAAGTTCAAGGGAGGTAATACTGATAATTTTTGTGCTAGAGTTGTAAACCTTGTCACATATGATGTGGTTGATGACCAGAAACTTATATTTAAAGTTTGAAGTAAACACCTTAAGAAATAAAGAATTTATAGTGAAAAAGCTGAAAAATTTAAATCAGAAATCTTGAAATTCAGGCTATTTGTTGCCATAGCAACCAGAATTTTCAACATAGGAAGAAAAGAAAAAGATGTGCATAATCTCCAGACTGCCATCTACAATATTTCAAGTTTCATAAAAATATTTTCAGTACTTTTTGAGTTATCACTGGATCCAGTTTATGTATTTAATTTGCCATATTTTCAGACTATTTGTTGCCATAGCAACCAGAATTTTCTACATAGGAACAAAAGAAAAAGACATGCATAATCTCCATACTGCCATCTATCCATATATCAAGTTTCATAAAAATATTTTCAGTACTTTTTTGGTTATCGCGGGATCCAGTTTTGTGGACAGACGGACTGACAGACAGACGGACGGACGGTAAACCTAAAGTCCCCTCTGGTTAAACCGGTAGGGGACTAATAAAGAAGGGCAAAATTTGGGCCAAAATAAATTGTTTCTTATTCCTATAACAGTGTCCGCTATAAGTGAAGTTTACTGTTTTAAGATGAGATCTTGTATACATAAATTGTAAACAACATGAAGACCATTGTAGCTCATATCAAACAAAGATAGTGATGCCCCTACCATTTTCCAGTAAGCTCATGAAATGTATTTTTTTTCATACTTTAAAAAGCAGATTAAATGAGAATAAAGACTGTGAATGAATAAACTTCATAAACAATTTTAAAGTATGAGAATCTTACATGGATGTTTCAGATGAAACACTGTTTCATAAATCAACTTTTGAAGTTTGTCTATGTTTGTTGCCTTTCTAGAAGCTGCTACATTAATGACATCAATAACTAATGGTAGACCTATATTGTAATTATCAACACGTCTGTATTTTTCCAATATCAATGTATTCATTGACTTCTCCCAGTTTGCTGGAAAATCTTTCTTCCTTTTCTGTATCTCATCAAGGTGGGTTCCCACAATTATAACAGGGGAACCAGGGGCCTGTGCCTGTAAATAACAACTTAGCTGTCAACAATATCAAGGTGGGTTCCTATAATTATTACAGGGATACTAGTCATATAGTCATTAAAGCCACAAGAGGGTTACATATCATCTGTTATGCACAATTTTAATGAGACACATTTATTTTTTATATATGATCTAAATATAGCTGCAATCTATTGGTCCAAACAGCTGTCAACAGAACTTTTTTATAAAATCATATTTACTGGGTGTAGTATCATATTCACTGGCTGAATTGGATTGAGACTCATATTCAATGACCATACAACGTAGACTGTTAATTACACATGTTAATTAAAAAATAATTGTTGCGTTTTTTCCAATGCTGACATCTTGATTTTTCCCAATATTAAACTGCAAGAATTTCAAATCTAAATTTAGCTTAAAAGAAATTAAAACAAGCAAAACCCCAGATGCACAACTCACATGCTGACCAACAGTCTTGTCACATTTAATGACTGTAGGTCAAATACCTTTTGAATTATGAGCAACACACTTTGAAAGTTGAATATTTTTTATTCAACTTGCATATTTTTTTACTAAGTCGAGGGCAATAACTCTACAAATACTAAATTAATCCATAAGCAAATCCCAAGTGTATAATTGCACAAGCTGACAAACATTCCTGTAACATTTCATGATCTAGGTCACATACTTTTAGAGCTTTGCACAACAGAAGTTGAAAATTGCAAATTTAAGGGCAATAACTCAAATAAAACTGAATTAATCCACATGCAAAAACCCCAGGTGCACCACTTCACATGCTGATCAACATTCCTGTAAAGTTTGTTGAATCTAGCTAAAGCACTTTTAGAGATATACATGACACATGAACTTTTTTGTTCTCTTTTGTTCTGTTTACAGTTAGATAATCCCCTATCCCAATTCAGTAGTGGGGACACACAGACAGATGGATGGAAGGAGAAGACAAATCTAAATGCCTCCCCTGGAGTGGGGGCACAAAAAATGCATTCTTTGAAAAAATTGGTTGTAATATAAGAAGCGGATTGGTAGTGAAAAAAGGGGGGGGGGGGGGGGGTTGTAAGGCGGTTCTCTACTGTAATATTTTATTGGTAGGAGATATTAAAATGAGTTTACCTGTATATTTACAAGCCACTGTCTCAGATCAAGTACACCAGGTTCACCATTCGTTAAATTCCATACAACCAAATACAAAGATCTTGGACTCAAAAAATATTGATGGGTAGCATAATATTCTGTCTGCAAAATAATTAAATACTTGCCTCTATTCTACATTCTAACATAATTTGCTTCCTCCAGATGAATAAAAGTAAATCTTCAAGTAAACAACTTTAATATTAAATATTCATAAGAACAATTTCCAAGTTTTTTTTAAAAACAATACCAACTTGGAGGCATGCTGTTTTAAGGTCATTTATTTAATAAATGATTGTATTGACAAAATGTTCTGGATTTTATACACTTTAAGTTTCTTCACCACATCTCCTAAAAGATGGATAGATATAAAAGACAAGGTAAAACAAGAACATCTAAAACCAATATATCCAAACTTTAAAACAGTGGATCAGAAAACGTACAAATGTTTCGAAATACATGTAGATTGTAATAATGTAATCATGAGCACTTCCTCAATAATCTGAAACAATAATGTTTTACCTGTCCAGCAAAATCCCAGGTGCGAAACTCTACAGGTCCTTGTTTGCCATCCAAGATAAGTTGACAAATATCAATACCAACTGTAGATAATGGCTTATCATCTTTCGTACAGAATGCTGCTGAAGAATCTTGTCTCTGAAGATAGTTCTAGAAAAAAAGTTCTATATATATAAAACTAAAGTTCTACAGATACAGTCAACGATTGTTATCCCTACATCACTTTTTGATTTTTTTTATCTAGGTCAAATTTTTAAACTCCTGATTCATTTTTTCTGCATAAAGACTATTCAAGGGTCATTATAAATGTTCTGCCTTGCAATAGAGGAGATGTCCATTTAGTGTGCTCTTCATTTTAACCTCTGGCATCCAGCTTGTTAAGCTGGCATCCAGCTTGTTAAGCAGAGCATAAAAATTACTATTCTTTAAAAGACCACCCAAAGCTTATTCCTATTGTTTTTCATGAAAAAAAAAGAAATAGAAAGTAATCTTGAGCAAGGTCTTAAGATATGCTGTTGACATTATTTACATATAATTTACACACATACATTAATATGCATCTTTTTCATATGAATTAAAGACATACAAATAGAAGACAGATGTTACCATCATTTTAGTGCTTGTTTTTCCTTTCTTCATTAACTGTTGTAAGAGAGAAGTTTTCCCAATGTCAAACGATCCAACTATCATCAGATTCATACAGTTGTACTTTTGTGATCTAGTAAAAAACACATGTTGTAATTTAGTCAAGTTGTAATATCTACAATGTTTAACTGAATGGAGTTCATACTTATGCCATCTAATTCAGCTTATCATGAAATCCAATTTCGGATGTAGTGTTTTATATTTCACAGATAAACAAAGATGTCTGTACTCTCTCTAATGATGAACAACAAGAGATGTTTGTGAAACACTTAATCCCCCTTCCCAACCCCCCACCTCATCTCGCCAGTATACATTATGGCCAGTGTACATGGAAATGAATTTTACTATGTGAGATCAACTTATCAAGTATGACATGTCTAAGCTAAAAAGTGTTTGAACAATAGGTTGCATAAACCTTGGTTGACCTATAGACCATTAGACAGGTTTGACTCTGACTGTTTAAATTATAAACTGTCAATAACAATATTTAACCAACCTGATTTTTTTATTGTATTCTTTATTTCATTTAATCAGAAGACCTCTGTAGTTGTAGAGTGACAAAGTAGTGGTCTGAGTAATATGTTGGATGTGCATAGCAGACATGGTATATGTTTAGCAAGTCTAATGAGAGATATACATGATCTAAACAGAACCTGACCTACATATTCTTATGATAAATCTGTATACCAAATCTCATTTCAGTATGTGCAACCTCTGCGAAGAAAATGATCAGAAATTGCAAATAATTGGAATTTTTCTATGTCTCAGGGGCATAACTCTGTCAAACATTGCTCGATCGTACCAAAACAGAACTTGACCTAGATATTCTTATGATACATCTGTATACCAAATTTCATCAAGTTTGATTCCAATATCTCATTCCTTACTCTAGTTATTGTTCTTAAACCATTTTTCTATTTTTAGCAACAGTGACCTTGACCCCAGGAATCCAAATGCAATACAAACCGAGCTTTCCACATATGGTTGCTATATATCAAGTTTGATTACAATACCTCATTCCAAACTCTAGTTATCGTCAGGAAACCATGATGTTGACCGATCGACGAACCAATTGACCGACTGACAAGCTGACTCCTATATATCCCCCTAAACTTCGTTTGTGGGGGTATAATTATATTTTTGTTTGATTTATACTTACTCCTCAAGAATTGACCTGAGAAATCCAGTAATGTCAGAAGCTTTACCATTTGCCATTTTAATAACATCATGAATAGGGCCTTCTAAAGGACACATTTCTACCTCTAAACGCTGCAATCTGTCTAGTAGACCAAGGGCTGGAGGAAGCTAAAACAGAACACACTTCAAACTTATCTACTACTGAAATTCATTTGTTAAACAGAGACTCTGTAAGATTGAAACCAAGTTTTTATACAGACATTGGCATTATATAAACACAATATTAATCATAAAATTAAATTAATAAATGAGGTTTATGAAGGTTAACATGACATCATCCAGCAGTGAAATAAGTATTTGGACAGAAAACACTAAGTTCTGTTTAGCAAAGTTTTAAAGAACTTCAAAGGCAAATAAATAGTTATAACTTAAACTTGCTGAGACCAAAACATTAAGTAATGTCTCAAAATGTCTTTGCCACCTAAAACAGAGCTAAACCACCCTCTATATTTGTGAAATTTAGTTTAAAGAATATTTCATTTATAATCGACACATTTACATAATAAAGTACATAACATAAAATTTAGGGATTGAGTAGGAAGCTTGTAAAGCTTTTTTGAAAACTTTCTCCGTCTGTGAAATTTGACTAGATACTTTTGGCAAACTAACTTCAAATTATTGTGATACCCATGAATATCAAAAAGGATCAATTCAAATGGGTGTTTGACAAGTCCATTTAGAAAATTTACAATGTCAAGGGTTAACAAACACATTTGTATTCAATATTCTTTCAAAATAGACTTTGATAAAACATAGCTTGTACAAACCTCTGTCAATTGCAGATTTTGTTTCATTGACAGGGACTTCAATGTTTGCATTTCTTTAATGTCATCTGGTAAATGAGTTAACTTATTTGCATCCAGATTAACACTTGTAATATTTGGAAAGAGTAAATTCCCTTGAATATTCCTCTCTAATACTTCTCTGTCAGACAGCTATAACAAAATAAAACATGTATATCAAATTTGAAGTGAATAACTTTAATAGTTTCTGAGAAAATGGATCTTAACAAAAAGGTTTAACAGGGCTTAAAAAGGGATGTACATTGTAAACAATATTACTATGATCTGCCCTTTGAAAATGTCATACTTTTATGACAATTAACATAATGTGCCAAGCTTGAAGCTTTTATATTTTCTGCAAAAATTGACCTTAAGGGTAATGATAACCAATGCTAACACAAACGGCAACAAGAGAGTCTTGACAATAGATCCACTTGTTTTCTTTGAAAAGAAGAGCTACCAACAGTAAATTTACTTTTAGCCTCAGAAAAGCTGACTGAACTGACCTCAAACCTAAGCAAAGGAAAATACCAACATATTCATGACCAGTTCACATAAAGAGGACCTGTTATATAGTTTGTAAAAACCTATGAGTAACTTACATTAATAGACTGTGAATGAGCAATTGCTGAGGTTCTCAGTACAATCAATGTTGTCAGTTTATTATATGACAAATCTAGTGACTCAAGATTCTCCAGTTTTGTATGATTACGATGAACACAAGTTGTTAGTGCTGCTGTCTGACCAAACATCCCTGATCCAACAAATGATGCTCTGAAAATATATATATCATTCATATACTTTCTTCATATTAATCTTATACATGAACATCTATGTAATTTTGAAAATCCACTTGCACAGATGAGAAAGAAAAGAAAGTGTATGGAAAAAAGAAAAGATAAATGAATAACCAGGGAAGAACTAGAAATGTGTCATAACACCACAAATGCCCCTACATGCAGCAAAAATTTCAAATGTTATAATATTTAGTTCCAAATTTGTTTGCACAAACCATTTTTTCATCTTCTAAGTTCAAGACCCTTTAACTATTCAATGTTAACACAAACCATTTTTATACAAAGTTCCAGGCATAAGTAAGTATATTTTTCATTCATATTTCATTTTAAATATGAAGTATTTACACAGAATTATGATAAAATTTACAGTGTTATGTTTACCATATATACTGAAACACACCTGTCTTAACCTAAGAGGTATTTCATAACCATAAGAGAATAAAGATGTTTGGATTTTATTTCAGAGAACTTGTATTAATTGATATTAAATGTTGAACAGATTCTATCTCTGTACAACAAAAATCACACAAGTTGCTAGATGATAATTTGCATTTAAAAAGATATTTATTTATTGGGACTAAAGGCATAAAAAATTTGTATTGAAAACTACTAAGATTGGTGTCGATTGTTGACTTAAGAAAAGCATATTAAATATTGGTTTCCAATCTATTTCATTATCATTAAAAACGTTATCCCATTTGATGGGTGCAGTTTGCTTTTATAAAGTTATTGCATTCATTTGTAGTTTATACAAGAACTGATTTGGTGACTTTGTTTTTTTCCAAGTTTTTCTATCTTTATTCTAGAGAATAAAATGCAATGTTTTATATCAACAAAATAAAATATTCAAACACATCTCCATCTATTGCTGCTTACAAATGACTTTAAAATAGCAAAATTCAAATTTTGATACATACTGTCTAGGGGCACAGAAACATTTTCTTCTCTCGTCCTCATTCTGCCAGTCACTCAAAGTTTCTATTTCATTATGACTCAAATCTAGTGTCTTCAATAGTTTTGGATATGCCCCAAGATTGCCCACAATTTTCAAATGATTGTAAGGCATTTCTAGGTTCTCCAACTGTGGACAACAGCATGACAAAAACTCAGGGAAAGATGAAAGCATGTTCTTTCCCAGTTTTAGTGATTTAAGGCCTTTCTTATAATTTTCGGCAGCATTTACAGCTTCATCACAGACCATAATGTCATCTGTCCAGTGATTGTCTCTTTTCACTTCATGGATTATCACATGACTATCAGTGCTTGATTCCGATTGGTCATTTTCTAGAGGTAAACTATCAGGAAGGCTTTCAAAATAATTTTCACTAGCAATGCTTTCTTCTGATTCTTTTCTTACAGAAACTGGCACAGGTCTAGGCAGCTGTTCAAGTTTATTATAGCTGAGATCTATTGTTTTCAGATACAAGGATTGCCAGAGACTCACTGGCAATTTATCAATTTTATTGTGGCTAGCATTAAGTACCCTCAAACGTGGAAGGGTAAATATGTAATTTGGAATGGTTAAAAGATAATTATGCTGAACATCCAATTCTTCAAGGAACTGACCATCAAGAGTGAAATTTGTTTGTGATGGAAATTCAGTTATTTCATTGTGTGAAGCTATCAGGGTGCAAAGTGATGGCAGCTGTAGCAAGGCTATTGGAACCATTGTGATTTTATTGTGAGAAAGATCAATTCTTGTTACAGCAAACAATGGAATTCTGGAATTCAAGCTGGACATTGATGGATTTAATGTATTGACAGCTGTTACAAGCCATGACGGTTCAACTGTGGACAATACTTTCAGATTTTGCCAGCGTAAGTTTACAGATTCTGTGGGAAATATCTGCTTGTATCTAGGATCTGAGGCAGAAAGTCTCTTGGTATCTTCACCATCCATTACATTTATTGAATATTCCTTCTTCATTAGTTTTTTATTGATATGATTGGTCTTATCTTCACTTGACTTGTACTTGAGAAAATGTGCAATGAATTCTGGGTGTGACCTAACAGCCTCTTCAAAGACAAAGTTATTCAAATCTTGAACATCAAGAGATAGAAGTGTATCTAACATCAATAAATCTTTGTTGTCTAGAGCTACTTTCAGTATTATTGAATACTCTACATCTTTCTCTCTGGCTGTCAAGTCAAACTTTGCTCTAAATTCAGCCAACTTTTTCACAATTTGAAGATGGCGATTCTTTACAGCTATATATACACATGTCAAGGTCTGACTCATGGAAGTGCTCATATCACTTCTTCTATACAAGACATTACTAGAAATGTCAGAAACATCTGGCAGTTGGATTGGATTAGTGCTTATTTCGTCCATATTTGCATCAATTTTAACTGGTTTAACATCAACATCTAAATCTTCCAATTGACTGGGTCCGGAACTTACACTAGACATGCCATCACTAAATTTATCTATACAGGAGCCTTTCACAGTAAAATTCAACAAATAATCCACTATATCATCATGTCCATTTTCACATGCGAAAAATAATGAGGATTTCCCATCAGCAGATACTTCATTTACAGAAAATGGTAGTCTGTATTCCACATGCTTCTGTTGATCATATTCCAATATGTACATACTATCTGGATAGTCTGACTCTAAGAGAAGCTTGACAATATCTAAACAACCAGTCTCACATGCAACATGTAGAGGAAGTTGATCAGAATCATCTTTCACCTTACAACAATCTGGATATTTCTGAAACAAACAAAAACAACAAACAATGTTTTACTCTTTGACAACCCTATTGCAATCATTATAGGGCTGACAACTTCAAGCAGTCCAACCAAATACTTTTTCTTAGTATTAAAGTCCCTGAAAAAAAATCAAAGCATGGCAAATCCATCATGCATAATGCAAGTTTTCTCTTAAAATACTTTCTCCAAAGTCATAAGTCAATATCTGTAGATTTCACCAAGTCTGCAGCTTAAAAATCTGTCAGTGCTTTCAAAATTAAATGTTTTTAGAAGCTAAAGATGCTTAAGATTATAAGTTTGGAAACATAGTAAGGCAAGAAACAGAAAAAACGTGTTCTGCTTTTCTCAGTGCTGGAAAGTAAAATAAAAGTAAGATTGAACAAGAGCCACCACAGGGTGGGGGCAAAGCTTGACTTTTTTACTTTTTATAAAAGCAAACAAATAAAAGGTTGTAACAAATGATTTAAAACGAAAATTAAAGGCATTTTTTTTTTCAATTTTAATAGGTCTGTCTAGTCACACTTGTTGTTTTGTCCAAGTATGAATCATTTCTATAATGTTAAATGATAAGTTTTACAGCTCATAGCTGCACATCAAAGGAGAGAAAAGTAGGTAACTTTGTCAAATTATTTACATCAGCAGATATCAAAGTTCAATTTTTCATCTAAAACTGGACATGGCACAAGCACAATAATCTATATATAACCAAATATATTGGATGATAATTTCAACAATTCAAATAAATGTACAATAATACAATATTTTATGAGAAAATTCATTTTCCAACACATGATCTCTATGCTAAAATTATATCTTGACTTTCATACAGTTAGCTTTTATTACTAAAATGATTTTCATTCTTTATCATTTTCAGAATCAGCACTGAACAACAACAGATAAGCATACCTTTATCAAATGTTTAACAATGTTTGTCTGTCCCATTTCCACAGCTACATGTATAATAGAGGGCTGACATGGTAGTTGTGTTACATAACGCAGTAATTCTACAGTTATATCTTCATGACCCTTCTCTATGGCACTAAACATAAACACATTTATTATGTTATATATTTCTGGAATAAGGTCATTCATCATAATTAATATTTTTCTATAAATTATCATTTTTAAACATTTTCTTTGAATTCTTACATGCATGTCCAATTCACCCCATAATTTTTTCAAGTGGTCTTCAGATTTTATTTTCTGTTGGAAAAATAATCCTGTGTTGTTTCAAACTATAAATATTTCAGTAATTTTATCTCGGGCAAAGTGAATCATATCATTGTTAAGCCTTCTTCAACACAGCGTCCCAAAAGATGCTTTTAATGTGTCAGTGACAATCGTTTCTAAAATAGAAGATCGGGAAACAAATAATCTGTTTTACTAATTTATATATAAAGAATGGACCAGTAGATTAGAGGCATCAAGAGGTTTCATAATTGTTTATGCATTTTGGTTATAAAAAATAAATTTTTGGTAAATTTCTAAAATCAGGTATTTTGGTTATAAAAATTAATTTTTTTATAGATTTTATTAACAAACAATTAAGAACTTTACATTAAAAACAGACTACTGTAAAATAACTCATTGGCATGTAGCCAAATTGATTCTATTTTTAGTAACACAATATTTAAAATTATTAGCTAACGTCATAAAGCGTAGCCGTTGTGTTAGTACTTTAACCCATTTCCAGATATACATGCCTTCCAACGCCTTTTTCACCCCCTCCCTTTTTGTTGTCTCAAATGGTGAAAAAAAGCCTTATTTAGGCCCTCGAACACCTGTTTTTGTTTGAGAAATGTTGTTTAAAAAAATGACCACTATTTCGGCGCCATCTCCTAACCAAAAGAAACATCAGGGGGTTGCCAGAAGGGGGATGTGCCCCCTTCTGTTTGGGGATTTGAAGGGGGCAGCAGCCCCCCTCATCATGAAAATTTTGGACTTGTGAGAGGCTAAAAATGACCCCAGATTGATCATAAGGCAATGTGTAACCGACGCTGAAAAGCCTTTGACTCTATCTTAATCCATTGAGTAGTTGCAGCACTTTGAAATCAATTTTGATTGAAAAAATCAATGCAAAATAGTGATTTTTGGCAATTTTGAAATGTCCCCTCGTTGCCAAAAAATGACCACTTTTTTGGCGCCATCTCCTAACCAAAAGAAACATCAGGGGGTTGCCAGAAGGGGGATGTGCCCCCTTCTGCTTGGGGATTTGAAGGGGGCAGCAGCACCCCTCATCATGAAAATTTTGGACTTGTGAGAGGCTAAAAATGACCCCAGATTGATCATAAGGCAATGTGTAACCCACGCTGAAAAGCCTTTGACTCGTATCTTAATCCATTGAGTAGTTGCAGCACTTTGAAATCAATTTTGATGGAAAAAATCAATGCAAAATAGTGATTTTTGGCAATTTTGAAATGTCCCCTCGTTGCCATGGTAACAGAAAATTTAGGACTGAGAATGTTGTTACAAAGGAAATGGTCCAGTCAACATTTGTGCCAACTTTGATTAGTATTTAAGCAGTTTTTATAGTTTTATAGCAATTTGAACTTGTAACAGGAGACTTTTCAATGAAAACAGCCACTTTTCACAAAATGCTCATGAAGTAATGGGTAAATAGATTTAAATTGTCCTGATGAAGGTCATAAAGTGACCAAAACTAGTAGATTCCAATAAAATATTGTAAACTTGCCCTGATGTTGACATGTATTTCTCTTTACTTTGAACTTGAATTGGTAAATTTATAAATTTAGGTAGATTATGGTAATGAAAATTGGATTTTGGGAAATTCCTAAAATTAGGTAGATTTTTATAAAGAAAGTAAAGTCTTTGGTAGATTTCTAAAATTTGGTAGGTTTAGGTAACAAGTGGGCCATGATGGCCCTGAAATCACTCACCTGTATATAGGCCCCTGGGCCAAGGCCAATTTTAAACCAGGGGCTTTAATTTGAACAAACTTGGTAGACACCCATTAGATGATGTTACATGATAAATATCTAAGCTCTAGCTCTTTGGGGTTTTTATAAGAAGATTTTTTTAAGTTTTTACTATATACATATATGATAGCTAAAAAAAACCAGATTGACAGCAGAATTAAGGTGATTACAAAAGCTCACCTTGTGCTGTACAGTCTGAAAATGAGCTTTTTTGCTGTTCTAAACAAACCATCTAAGAATCTATAATTTTATGATATTTTCCTGATGATATTTTTCCAAAAAAAACACAAAAAAAAACAAAAAAACAAAAAAAACACCAAGGGACAAAGTTGAGCACAATTATTGATAGATAGAATCTTACATGATTACTGGACTTTTGTCGAGGTCAGGTAATTTAATTGTTGCTAGTTCCCAGCCTGCTGGAGGTGGTACCCTCAATATGTCCTTCACCTTAACTATATCACCAGTATCACAAGCACTGTACAAATCTACAATATATCATCATATATCTACATTTGATAAACATCTATATCTAAAATATCAAAATTGACATAAAATGATTTAAAATAATACATGTAAATAACAATGTACTAAGCAAAACTTTTCAAATGCATCAGTTTATTCAAGGACTGCTTCAACAATTTTGGTTATAGTCCTTTTATATTCTTTAGGAATTACCTAAATTTGCTCATGTTTGAAACTTTGTTTAACTTATTAAAGTTGACAGGGAGTCTCTATGTATTTGATTTGTTTTATTTTACCATTGTTCAAAGTAGCAAGACTAATCAACACACTGAGAATTTTGTCAACATATCAATTGTAATTAAAATATCAACATTACTGGGATTCTTTAAATTACCAGACAAAATATGATGTTTTTGCTGTAACTTTTATTTAAAACCATAAAAAATGATGGAATTTTACCCAGTTGATTTTGGGTTCTTCATACACATAAAGGTTACCTTATCAAACAATTTGATCATAAAAATGTGTCTACAAAGTGGGGCATTATAAGAAAAAAAATTGTGTATAAACTCAATTTACCAGACAATGTGTTTCAAAATATTTTAAAATTAATCTTTCAATAATCAGCAAGGAAAGTTACTCGATGTTAAATATTGGAAAACTCCAAGATGTTATTAAAAATAGACAAGGCAGCCATGCTGTTGTTATGAAGCGGCTTATGTATGGGGTGTAATTGAAATTAACACTCAATTAACCTATTGATTCTTCATTAATCATTAGACATATGTAAAATTCAAAATTTTGTTCATGCAGTTTTCTTTTGGTCATCATGAAGCCTGTAAGAGCCAGACAATTTATTCAATTTTAATTTGCCCTTGGTTTGAAAAATTGGCCTTGACCCATTTCCTAATACATGTATGGTTTTTAATTTGCTTTTCTTTGTAAAAGAAATACAAAATAAGAAAACAAAATACTGTTTGAACTAAATTTAAAAATATTTTTTATCATTAAAATAAATATGTAACGATTGTCTACTGAGATTACGCAGAGAAAATGTAAAAGTAAAATCCTACCGTATTTAAAATAACCAATTAAGGGCCTCAATATTCGGGCATGTGCAGGACAGATTATTCCCCCGCATGACCAGGGAATGTATGTAAGTAAACAATAAAGAACTGAATCAACAATATTTACCCTGAGAGTAGTTTTGTTGTTATTTACTTTGAAATGAAGTGTGTGCGATTAAGACCAGATGACTTGTGAATCAAAATAAAGCGCTATTTGACAGGAATAGATTTTCTGATTGTCAGGTAAATATGTAGGATCCCAGTATAGTTTAGGTTGAACAAACAATACAATAAAAACAAATTATTATCAAAGTATTGCAAGCAACACATAAGTCCCCTATGGGTTAGAACCCCAGCAATTCTAGATTATTCTACCTCATGTGTTTTGCCTGTTCAAAATATCATATATGCTTCATAAAACAGTTTTAGTTATACCAGTAGGTAACATGATATATGGGAGAATACAGCCTGAATGAGATGAATATTACCTGACATGCTAGCATTTTCAGCTTATAAAATTGTCAGATTAATAAGCCAAAGTGAATTTCACAATATGAAGCATTTTCTAAATTAAAATTTGTTAGAAATATATGACATATATTTCATATGTATAAAATATGACATGAACATCACCTGCCACAACTCTCATTGCATTCTGTTTTCTTCTTTCTGTAACAAAAATCAGCAACAATAATTAACATAAGAAAAAAAAAATGAAATTTACATCCCTATTTGTATCTAAGGTGTGTACTATACCCCAGTAAACTATCCCTATCAGTTTAAGTATTAGGATATTTATCTGATTCTTTATAAAACCTTAAATTTTACTGTCTATTTTAAGAGACAATCTTAAGTATAATGTATTATATTAGATATCACACTGGCAGATACTTCAAGTTTTCTTTGAAAGGCTGTAAAATATACAAAAACATCACTGTGTAACATAACAATATATGAACAAAAATTAGATGTGTGTAAAATTTATGCTACTTTGTTGAACTGACTTACCATCTTCCTGTTCAAATATTTCAACATATTCCTTCATTCCAATACTTTTAGCAAGATTGATAGGGGTCATTCCTGTCTCATCTACCCGATTCAGATCTGCCCCATACTGTAGTAACAGTTTTATGGCCTCCATCTTACATTCCAACAACGCTTGATGCAAAGGTGTCTGTAAATACAAACAATATTGATTCACAAAATTTAGTGTTTTCAAACTCTCATCTATTACATGTATTTATCAAACTAAAAACATAAAGAGACAACAACAAAAAATCCAATCTATCTCAAACTCTTTTAAATTTGCTCTAAACTCTGTTTCTTTCTAAGAGCTATAACTTTTTGTATAGAAACATAATAATATGTCTATAAACAATTCAAATTATTTGAATATTAAAATAATATAATTCATTTAAGAAAAGATTCTATGCTGTAAGTATTAGTCGTCCGCTTTATTGCTTTGGCAGCTTGATTAATGAATAGTCTGCTACATTTTCAATTTTTGTTGGTTAGCATTTTACCTGGTTACACTCAATGGCTTTTTTTCAATAGTTTTCTAGTTGAGCATATCATGCACTTGATATGGTATATATAAGGCTAAACTGATGCAGTATAATCACTCTTTACACATCCACAGATCAACTAGAATTTATTCTGCTATTTTCATTGAAAGATTTGCCAGTTGGCAGCGGAAGGGAATGTCCACAAAGATTTTTGCGAAGCCACAGTAGGCAGTCTGGAATAGAAGGGTATCAACAACCTCGCAATAGAGGGAGGAAACATATGACAGATGATCCCCTGGAAGATTTGGTGGACGAGTGTTGCAAACACATGCTGGTCAGTCAACACCAGATTTTGAGCAGATAATAAGGGCCTCTAATATTATCCTACAAAATGCGGGTGATAATGTTAATTCAGTTGTAACAAGTTGTAGATGGTTTCTTTGCACTGCACATTTACTCAATGCTACTATGTTTAAAGTTCCAGATTTATGTCCTGGACAAGAAAAGCGGATGGACAGACAAACGGACAAAGCAGCAACTATATGCTCTTCTTTCGAGGACTTGCACAAGAAAGAAAAAAAAGAGGGCCATAATGGCCCTTATATCGCTCACCTGATTCTGAAGACTTGATCCACTTTATTTGGGTTGAGTGACCTACTTTTTAACCTTAGATGACACAAATTAGAACTAGACCTACAAATCAAACCTACAACAAAGCAGAAGCCCTTAGAGAGTTTAACAAGGTTTTTCCATAAATGGGCAGTATGACCTCGTTTTCAACCCCAGGTGACCCATATTCGAACTTGACCTAGAAATCATCAAAACAACCTGTCTGACCAATTTCCAGGGTATTTGGATCAACAGTAGCCACTAGAGTGTTAACAAAAAATTTCTATTTTTAGCTCCTCTGACCTAGTATTTCATCCGTGATGACCCATTTTTGAACTCATCGGAGCAATTGTTAAATGTGGACGGACGATGGACATTCAACGATCCTAAAAGCTCACCCTGAGATGAAATGTTACAGAGAGAAACATGATCTTAAAACAAAATGAACATACCATGTTACGAACTCTTTCTCCACCAGCAATACTAGGGTCAGCTGAAACATAGGATATTACATTATATATCTTAAATTTGAATGTTTAAAATGTTATAAAACTGTTTCCAAAGTAAGACCATAAACTGTACCAATACTAGGGTCAGCTGAAACATAGGATATTACATTATATATCTTAAATTTGAATGTTTAAAATGTTATAAAACTGTTTCCAAAGTAAGACCATAAACTGTACCAATACTAGGGTCAGCTGAAACATAGGATATTACATTATATATCTTAAATTTGAATGTTTAAAATGTTATAAAACTGTTTCCAAAGTAAGACCATAAACTGTACCAATACTAGGGTCAGCTGAAACATAGGATATTACATTATATATCTTAAATTTGAATGTTTAAAATGTTATAAAACTGTTTCCAAAGTAAGACCATAAACTGTACATCTGATTTTTACCTGAATGTGTCACAGGATATAAAAAAAGATATGCAACCTTTGTATTTCTTGACTTATTTTACATATGGATGAATTTATAACAAAACAAAAATACATTCAACCAAACTTCTATTATGCAAAGTGGACTTATAGATTTAAACAATATCACTTTTACAGACCTCCATGCTGAAGAAGTATCTCTAAACACTTAATACTGTTATTGGAGACTGCAGTATACACTGGTGTGCGACCACATCTGTCACGGGCATTTATGTTTCTCCGTTCCTCTCCTTGTAGAATGTCTAACATAGCATCATGGCGGTCAAATATGGCATACTGATGAAGCCTCTGACCAGGCCACTCATCACCCATATTGTCAGTAAAACAAACTTATTTAGCCTTCTTTCATGAATTTGTATGTCTGGAAATAAAAAATAAAACTACTGAAACATGACTGATTACATGATGAAGTTGATAATATTATAAATTAAGGGTGTAACAAGTCTTAATATACTAATACATGTTTTATCCTTTAATATTGACTTAAACATTTAAGATGAAGACAATTAAACAAACAAAGTCAAGACAAAACATGAGTTTTATTGTTTAGTTTTATAATTTGTCCTGTAACTCTTTCTTCAAAAAAAACTAAAGCTTGAAAAACAAGAACGTGTTTGTTAAACACAAATGCCCCCGGCTCAGATTCTTGTCAGTAACAATATTTAAAATAAAGGCTGTATGGGCAAAAGTGTAAAAAATCTATTTTTAGCACTGGTGACCTTGACCCAACTGACCCCTAACTCCATCCAAAGGAAGAATATCATGCAACTTATTTTCCTACCAAATATGAAATAAATCAGTCAATATATAAAGGCTGTATGGGCAAAAGTGTAAAAATCTATTTTTAGCACTGTTGACCTTGACCCAACTGACCCCTAACTGCATCCAAAGGAAGAATACCATGTAAGTTATCTTCCTACCAATTATTTACAAATCTGTCAATAAATAAAGGCTGTATGAGCAAAAGTGTAAAAAACTATTTTTAGCACTGGTGACCTTGACCCAACTGACCCCTACCCCTGCTAAACAAGAATACCTCAATTTTATGTTCCTACAAAATATACAAGACATCTGTCGATAGATTAAGGTTAATACACCTGTAAAAGTGTAAAAAATCTATTTTTGACATTGGTGACCTTGACCCAAATGACCCCTTACTAAAGGAAAAGGAAGAGGACCTCCCTTGGTATGACTATTATAAACATGAAAGACATTAACTTAAAAATAAAGGCTGTATGAGCAAAAATGTTTAGATTCATTTTTTTACACAAGTGACCTTGACGTTGACCTAGAGACGCCTAACGCCACAAAAAATTAGAGGACGGTTAAAGGTATCCACCTACCAAATATGAAAGATATCATTAAATAAATTAAGTAATCAGGTGTAATTTTTTGATAAATCCAACTTGGCGGAATAGGTTAACCAAACAAGGCCCTATTTTCAAAGTGATAAAAAGGGAAATTACTGGGAAAATGGATGGCACATTTATATAACTTGGCAATATCATGTACATTGTATTGATAAGTAAGTGTGAAAATTATTAAGCCATTAGTTCAGATAAAACATGAGATATTTCCAACTTGCCGGTTTAGGTTAACCATTATTCATTTTCTAAGTGCTGAAAAGGGCCATAACTTGGTGCAAATGGAAGCCATAGTTATGTTACTTGCCCAGATCATATACTTTGTATGGATTAGTAAGTGTGTAAATTATGAAGCCATTGGTACAGGTAGAACTTAAGAAAAATCCAACTTGCCGTTCAACCTCGTACGGACAGACGGACGGTTCAATTACTATATACCGGATTGCCCGGGGGCATAAAAATGAAGGGATTTCATGTTATACATACATAAATCACTTTAATAGGGTCAAGCTAGTCAAATATCTATGTAGAGTGTCTTTCTTTTTAGAAAATAATACAAGTGCTCAAACTACCTTGGTTGCAGGTAAAATACTGTATGCACCTACTACATATTCTTGCATAAATATAACACATGATAGTTTTATGTCTCAATTTTGCAAAACGAGTCATATAGAACTTGTACGTCTCATATCCATAATTGTCTGTTGCAACATGCACGCATATTTTGTTATATCAATCACATATTTAAATTCAGTCAAGTCAATTTGTTTTAATATTCAAAAATAAAATAAAACTTAAGTCACTTAGATAAAAAAATATATAATATGTATATATATAATATCACAAATTTAAGAAATTTCGTTTTGACATACTGTCTTATATAATGTTTTTGTGATATCTATGACATATCAATATTATCAAAATGTTTGAATTATTGTCCTTTATTCATTAAATTAAAAAGAATTATAACTTTTTCAAAAACAAATGTATTAATTCGGAAGATAATCAAATCATATAAAAGTATGTCAAACATATCCATTCTAAATAACCTTTTAAAAATAGGCACTGAACATTTAAATACGCAGAGCGTTCACTCCTTGCACATACCGAAATAGCTATCATGTTACAATTAATTCATGTGAGGCGAGTTTATTACAAAAGTTGATCATGTTTATAAACAAAACAGAGTCCATATGATTTTATAGGTACCTATATCTATATAAAAACAAACAAACAACTTTATGTAACTATGTAAAATATAATCTACGGTAGTGCAATAAGTACATCATAATCAAATACATGTACAATAAATATGATCCTTTTCATAAATGAGGATTTTTTCATTGCGTAAGTTGACCGCAGCACCAGGTTTTTAGTAATTTTTCGCATTGAAATGATTTTCTATTTTTTCACCTCACAAAATGAATTGTATGCATGTGCGTATCTGGCATATAGGCAGCTACGCCACTGGTAGGCTAATGTAAGATAATTTACGAAAATATTGTAAAATTCATTAAAATAATCATTTTCACCCAAATTATAAATCCTTGAGAACAATACCCTAAAAATGAAATAAATGCAACATTTAAATTTTATTATCATTTAAAATGAAACTTGAAAAATTTAACTTTTCTATTAAAACATTCTCAATTGATAAAAAGTGGGAGTGAAACCTTACAAGTTACAATTTATTTACAAAGTGGGAGTGAAACGTCTAGTCTTGGGAGTGAAATCACTTAATAGTGAAATATTTTGGCAGTGAAACGTCTGGCATTCTGTATTTGCTAGATATATACCGTTGGTAATCTTGAGTTGTAGTCAAAATCATGTGATTTCTGTCAAAACTAAAATACGTAAAATTTCCTATTTTCGTTTTGATGCAACTTAGGAACATATCCGAGACTTCCGAATATACGATTCTTCTTTTTCCCGGCTCATTTACTATAATATATGTTAAATGTACCCAAATGCAAGGAGCGAAACATTTAGAATCCAAAATGGAATCCAATTCGGTGGAGAGTCAAGGTTTACTTGATGAAAACCAGGTACAGTGGTGGTGTCCTTATTTATTAGATATGCTAATGGCAATATTTGTACACTTTTGGTGTGTAGGTCTACAATAATGATATTTAATGAGCTGTGATGCAGAATATCTTCAGTTTAGTGATTTTCACAAAGTTATGCCCCTTTTATCGATTCAGAGTCAACTCGTCCCATGGTCAACTCGTCTTCTGGTCAACTCGTCACCTTTTTGATCAACTCGTCCCGTGGTCAACTCGTCCCCTATATTTTATTATTATTGTTTTTCATATATTTCATAAATTATTATACTGGTATCGAAGCAGTTTCCCATAAAAATATGAGGTTATTGAAAAATTTCTCAATAACAACGTCTCCAATTTAAATAAACTTTTGATATGACTAAATACAGGTCATGCATTGTTATTGTAAATAAAAACCGGATTCCTGAATAAGACATGCGCATCAAAAATGGGGCTCCAACGGGACGTGTAAATTAGCCGTAATTGCCTCGCTACAGAAGCAGTTTCCGACACTTTTTTTTAATCATTGATTTTGCGGGTTTATAAATCGGTATCAATGTTTTTGTTATAATAAGACTTTTTGAAGGCCTCTTTAGACAAATGATATTGCTTTATTTAGGGTTTTAATCGTAACAATTCAGAAATCCTGGTAGACTTAATATGACATCTGCAGTGATTTTTAACGAGATTATTATCAGACCGGTTCCGGCGCACTGACCGGTTCCGAACAATCAAGCGAGCCATTCACGTAACCGACAATAAATATAGAAAATATAGAAAATATTCACTGGTTTTGTAGTTTATTGACATTAACAAATAAATAATTAAATCATCATTCTATTTCGGCTTCTTATTTATAATTAACGTCTGATTTAGGCAAAAATGCTAAATTTCATCTCGCCAATCTTATTGGTATTGGTATATCGGTACTGTACATATTATATGTAAACTGAAAGAAATTTAAGGGACACAGTTTATATATTGAAGGAAAAGTTGTTATCTGCCTTACAACTTCATCCAAAAATATTTGCAAAAATATAACATAAAGATATTCATACCTGTTTAAACTAGGAGACCCTATTTAACTACATGTAGTTCCGAAGCATGTATTTTTAATGACAGGATTTCTGTCAATGAACACTTTTCCATGTGTTCTCATCAGAAATAAAATGTTATTTGATAATGGAATTTATGAAAGAGTGTGTAAAAAAAGTGTGCCAACAACTTTGTTGAGATAAACATATTTTGAAGTAAAAGCATAATCATTTATTTAAAAAGCGCTAACTGTTTAAAATAGTAGGAGATACGCTATGCTCTTATTTATGGAAAGCACATCTACGTGTAGTGTAATTAATATACATTTAACCTCTGAAAACTAAATGATAAGATAACATGCAGAAGAAAGAACAAATAAATATCGATTTCTATGTCAGTGTTAACAGTTATTACTTGATCTAAAAATTGTTGTTAACATATCTGTTTTATGGATAAAATCTGGGACCGTTCTGTCCCAGATAAAATAAACAGTAAATAATAAGATTATCTATAGAAAGTATTTATCACTAATTAATGGGACTGGAATAAATATTGTTCGAGCACAATCGCAAAACAAAAACTTATTTTTTATCTTGACCATGTCACGATTTTGTGATACGTACGGCCAACTGGGCAGGTCCTAGGGCTTGAGGGGGGATACTCCGAAGAACAAATTTTCGTTCAGCGATGCTCCAAGAAGCGTTTTCCGGTGTATTTTGCACCGTTTAAAATCTGCAACTAGTAAATATTATTTTGGCATATGTAAATAAGTTTTTACAACGATCGTGCACCATAAACTTAATTCAGGGTAAAAGGTTGACTTTTAAAGATCGTATATGGTAAGGACAGTTGTCATAAATTACGTGCAAGAACAGAAGTACGAAGATTATGTTCACACGATGGTTAAAGCTAATCAATGGTCGATCGTATGTGGTTCAAACAGTACATTATAAGTCAATCACTTTCGTTTAGCAATTGTTTGTATTTTGTTCAAACTAATTTATTTACAGCAATGTTCTTGTATTTTGTTCGCAAGAGTTTATCTTACACAGCGCAGAGTCTGAGTTCATGTTATTTTTTTCAAAACACATCGCCATCGTTTTCTGGTAGTATTGAACTCCCCTCGGCCATAACTGAACCATGTAAGTTTAGTAAAACTTCCGTGTATACGCAATTTAATGATAAAATTAAGATTGTTCAAAGGCAGGTCTGTACTTATTCTTGTACTCTTTGTAGGTAATATTACAAATGGTGTGTTGGTAATATTACAAATGGTTTGTTATGTGCACCGGAACTGGTAAACCTCCGGAACTGGTGAAAACAATCAGATTAAATGAAGCGGTGTTCTTATTAGAAAAAAAGGTTTGAAGTGGAATCAAATATCTACTAGCAAGTACATTTGGTCTTGAAACAATTTGTTAATTTGTATGCAGACAGCGAAAGTTGAAAACCTGTGTCGGAACCGGTCAAACAACTGTATGATACGTATTTTAATGTCTATTTGAATACAGACATTTTTGATGTGAACATTTGTACAAATAAATATAAAACAAAAGAAAAGAAAAAGAAGAAAAAAAAGAAAACTTGTTAATCATTAAATTTTTTATCACGGTCATTGGTCAAAACTAGACTTTTTACATTTCACGGACATATCGTATGCTTGTACCACGAGTGTTATTGCATTCATGAATCCATAACACATTAATTTCAAGTACGAAAATATATAAAAGAAATTCTGTAAAATTATTCTAAACACCCCATAAGGTGCCCCATAATAAAAATAGCCTTCTATACGGGAAACAACCTACTGTTAGAATATAGACTATAATAAACAGTGTTGCCTCCCTTGGTTAGAAGAAAATTGCCGCGGGTTTCCCATTTCTGTCATTTTTGCTTTTATTTCAAGATTTGTTGATTAAAAATGTCAACAACACATAGCTCTAGCTTATATTTATTGACTATTATGAAATTTGAATGATTATTAGCGACTTTTGAAATGTCGTCTGTATTCGCTGGCAAAGGGGGCAAACTTGTCTTAATTTGTGCCTAATGGAGTTATCCTTTGCGCATGCGCAACAGTAGCACGTGAAATCCCTCATGCGAAAAATGTAAACACACCTGCTTGTAAAATATAAAGGTGAGAACGATTATGTTTAATGTTTATTTTAGACTGAAGAAATTCTGTCGAACGTTTCCTTGAATAATATTGTTCTGAAAAAAAACTCACCTTCAATTTTGAAGAGTTTCAGTAAACGAAAATAACCGTATTGTCGGATACTACTAGCCGACGGATACTGCTTCGATACCAGTAGACTTTTAAAAACTTTATATAAAATTATTGAATTTGACATTTTTACGGCTATGGATAAGTGAAATATATTTTTATTGTATTGTATTGTACTGTATTGTAAATAAACAAGGCGGTTTAAAATCATTCAATATTTTCGGCTTTTATATTTAACAAAACAATAAACATTTTGTATTTATTAAATGAAGTTGTTAATTAAATATATCATGACACGTGCCCTTTGTTACCAAATTAAACACCTAGTAATTTGATAATAGGATTAACGACCATGAATAGATCTTTGCCTTTAATGTGGTTAGATACGTATTTATATATTTAAAGAGTGCATGTCTTTAAATTGAAATTATACAAATCACGTGAAAATCGTGCCAAAGGTTGTTATAATTTTTTATTCTCCAAATATCGAATTTGTTTTTGTTGGTGTATGGTCAAATGTATGAAAAAAGATTGATTAAATACAATTGATACATTCAATACGTTGACTTGTATTATACAAGAGATTCTTGAACTCGGTTTATTACAGCTTCTCTTCGAGATCAATGTAAAGATTTATTTATGGAAATTTGATATTAACTTTACTAATTATTAAATGGTAATTGAATTTTTGGTAATTATTTTATCGCTAAATGTTTACAATTAGTTATTATTCACTGCAAATATTATTGTACGGATTTTTTTATTTAAAAAGTAGAAAAAAATACAAACTCTTCCAAAAAAGCTTTATGTATATTGAGAAACTAAATAAATTGCGGTAAAAATCAAAGAGATGGACAGAATTTTAGTTTTAATTATCATTAAAACTCATTAATTAAACATTCAAGTTGTACTTGATTGAATGTTTGCAAACTTACCTGTCTTTGTAGTTTTACATCAAAGCTATGCATGTGCGCTAAGATAAAGAACATTAAAATGCAGGTTAAAAGACGTTATTTTATAAATTATTCGATTTTAATCAAACTTGAACACATGACACCACAAAAGATTTGGTTTGGCCTTTAAGGGAAATTACTACCGTAAACATTCTAAAAAGATAACTAGAGACTAATTTTAACCTTATCTAGCTACATTCATTAAGATTTAACACAAAAGAACTATTTAAAGACATTGATTTTTAACATAATAGTTGATCAAAAGTAGGGGACAAGTTGACCATATTAGGGACGAGTTGACTCTTTTATAGACAGTCTAGAAATTTAAAGATTTTTCAATCTATAAATTTACAGATATTCAGTGTAAAATTTGCTGTTTTTAGTTTTACAATAAAATCCACAGCTTAAGACAAGTTGTTTTATTGATTGTTTGTATTTACAAAGGTATTCTGGTAATGGGGAGAGTTTGTATGAGGATTTTGAAATTTTTGTTAAAAGTGAAAATTGTGAGTCATCAAATTGTTCTGAATTTTAACATACTGTTACATTTAATCATATAATATGTAACCTTATTCATTTTAATCTGCGGTTTTCTATTTTCTTACTTAATGTCTGTAAATTTACAGATAAGAAAATCTGTAAAATTATGGATCGTCCAAAAATTTACAGACCTTCTGTAAATATCATGAAATCCTACACCTGTTTATTAGGGAAAAAACACACTGTGCATCTTGGTAATAGTTTGATTACAAATAAAATGTCATTTAAACGAGTGCTTGCAGACAGCTAACACGATTGAAATGACTGTAGAATGCTCGAGTAGTCGAAAGCACGTTCGTCGGGAACTCTTCTTGTATTGCTTGGTCAGAAGGCAGAACTAAAATTCACTTTCAATTTTAATTAAATGTGATTTTTGTATTAAAATGTGATATATAAATGTTTATTCTGATTGCATCTAGAAGCTGATTTGATTTTCTCTAGATTAAATCTGGAAAAGTCACCCCAAGTGTCTGTGCTTTAATGTTTGTAGCTGGGAATATGAAATTGATATAAATGAATTTGTCTGAAATAGTTTCATAAAGAAAGAAATTTATTTTTATTTACTTGCATCATGTCATTGAATGAAATTAAACAAATTTAATGCATTGGTTGCAAATTATTGTGACCAGAAAGATACCAGAATATGACAAGAATACCACATATGAACATTATTTTGATACTGTATACATGTATATAAAAACAACCCTTATTAAATACTATTTATACTTTATTTTTTCAAGTAACAAATATTCATTTAAGAATATGTTAATTATAATGTAAATATTTGACCCAATGCCAAAATTTCATGAAAATAATATTCATATTCGGTATTCTCTTCATTTTCACGAATATTAATTCATATTCGTTATTTAGTCATACCTGTACTTAACGTTTACAGGAAAATACTCAAATATAAATATCAAACATGAATGAAATTTTTCTTCTTTTTAATAAGTGAACTTATGAAACTGTTTGTCAAAGAAATATTTCAAAAGATCCAATTAATATGTCATTTTGTAAACTATTTTGAATGTCTGCCATTTTGGGCAGTTTCAGAGGAGGTTACTATGGTATCACAATAATTCCCAAAAATCCAACTATGGAAGGATAGATGGGTCAAAATCTTCAAGTTAAGTTGTTAAAAATTCTAACAGTTAACTTGCTATAAAATTCAAACAATAGGAACAGACGATATGTCATTATATGTGATTATAACATTTTTTTTTTGACGGTGTAGGAAAATAGTAGTCAAATATGAAGATTATATAATTATTTTCTTCGAATATTGCCACAAATACATTCATTATTGACAAAATTAAAGTTATTGACAGATGAAAATGAATTTAATATGCCAGTTTTAAAAATATTAGCATCATCGTATGTTGCTTTTACTAGCAATCACAGAAAATGTAATTACCATGATATCATAGAACCAGTGATATCATAGAAACCAAGCATATATAGTCCAATATATTAGACTTTATGGGATTGTTCAAAGTTAATGATCATCAAGCCCAACATCTAATAATTTGCTCATAAACTCATAGCAACATAAAGAATAAAAAAAATTGCCAATTGTCTTTCAAAAAAATCAAGCTTTATTCAGAAGTTTATCAAATTTTCTTTCAGATTCATGCTCATTAATTAAAATCTGCTATGGGTTTATAAGCATTGATGTTGCATTGATAAGAAGTAAAAATATTGCAAAGGAACATCCTTTTTAGGACTAAGTAGCCTAATAAATTAAGCGCGAACGGTTCTTCCCATTTAACAAACTGTTTTAGGATGAGCATATAGCCGCTGCTTTGTCAGTCCGTATGTGTCCAAACTGTTACGCCTATATGCCCTAATTTTAACTTTCATTTTGATTGTTTTGATGATTTCTAGGTCAGGTTGGATTATAGGTCACCTTAGGGTCAAAAACTAGGTCCAGTCCAAATATGGAAAAACCCTTGTTAACACTCTTAGGAGGCTACTGTTTTGATCCAGATATCCTTGAAATTGGTCAGAAAGGTTGTTTTGGTGATTTGTAGGTAAAGTTTGAATATGGGTCACTTGGGGTCAAAAGTAGGTCACAAAGCCCAAATATATAAAAATTGTAGACTTGTACTATAGTTACTTATAGTTAATTACCGGTATATATATACACTGTATAGTAAAAACTTAAAAAAATCATCCTCTCTGAATTGACAAAGGCTAGAGGTTTGATATTTGGCATGAAAAATAGTGTAGTGGATATTTACCAAGATTGTTCAAATTATAGTCTTAGGGTTAAAATTGGCCCCACCCCGGGGGTCATTCATTTTCATTATGAACATATAGTAAATACTTAAAAAATCTTCTCTAAAAGTGCAAGGCATAGAGCTTAGATATTTTGTGTTTACCATCATCTAATAAAAAATTATGATAAATTGTTTGAATTGTATGGTCAAAATTGACCCAGGAGGTCATTGATTTTCCCTATATGTATATAGTAAAAACTGAATTGACAAAGACTAGAGGTTAGATATTTGGCATGAAACATTTTGTAGCGGATCTCTACCAAGATTATTCAAATTAAAGCCTTAGGGTTAAAATTCGCCCCTCTCTTGGGGGTCATTGATTTTCATTATGTTCATATAGTAAAATCTTAAAAAAAAAAAAATTCTGAAAATATAAGGCTTAAAGCTTTGATATTTGGTAAATGATATCATCTAATTATGTCCTCTAACACAGTTGTTCAAAGTTTGCCTCTAGTGTCAGAACTGGCCCCACCTTGGAGGGGGTCATAGGTTTACAAATATGGAAAAACTCTCTTGGGACTGCTGTTTCAGTCCAAATATCCTTGAAATTGGTCAGAAAGGTTTAGGGCAATTTTGATTATGGGTCATCTGGGGTCAAAGACTAAAAGGTCACAATGCCTAAATATGGAAAAAACCTTACTAACACTCTAGAGGCTATTGTTATTGTCCAGATATCCTGGAAATTTGTCAAAAATGTTGTTAAGATGATTTTTAGGTAAAGTTTGAATATGGGTCATATTGGGTCAAAAGCAGGTCATACAGTCATTATATTGAACCTTTTTACCACTTTAGAGGCTACTGCTTTGATCCAGATATCCTGGAAATTGAAGAAAGGTTGTATGATTTCTATCTAAATACTTATTGCCCTAAAAAAAATATCTGAAGCCCTGAAGTTCTTTGTTTCATAATTCTACTGATCAATAACAGTAGAATATTTTATCCCTTGAGACTAAGTTGGTTGTTGAATGCTTTTACAGCATTTATCATATTGCCTGTGTATGAAAATTTCAAATCAAAATAACAAACAGAATTGATTGTTTCAACTTGTCTCCTTTGATAAACCATGTACAATTACTTTTTGTTTGTTTCTTTTATAATAATAGCAAATGAATTGTAAATATTAATTGATATGTTAATTGATTTCAGCCTGCCCGGCCTACAGACCCACTGTCACAGATGAAACATGATCTGGAAGGATGGAGAGAGGTGCTGTTACCTCTAAATAATCTACTTAACTGGGATAAACCTGTCTACCCTGGCATTATTGTCGCATTCACCACCTTTCTCTTCTTGTAAGCTTTAATTCATTCTATTTTATCACTTGTATATAAAGTGAGTTAACTTCTTGTGCATAAATATGTAATATTGTTTTGGGAAGCAATATGTTGATAAGATTCCTGTTGTTTGATGTATGTAAGACATAAACAGCTTATGATTGATATATTGATATGGAGTCTATTTGTTTGTTTTACTTGTTAGGTTGCAACATGATAGTGAACACCAGATGCATTTTTTTCATGAGTGAAAATATATCAGCTGGTGTCCACAAGTAAAGTAAAATTTGATATTTCATGTACATGCAGAACTTTCATGTACTTGCAAAACAAACAAATGCTCTATTTATTTTCTACTTTTGTAGTGTTTTTAAGTTATTTTTACTGACTTTTGCTGCTAAGCGTCATACTTGAGGCACTTTAACTTTTGACGCCAGTAAAAATTGTGAGTTCCTAATTATATTTATAAAGAAGAGAAGATCTATTTCTGAATAATTTTCATTCATTATGCTCCTCTTCAAAGAAGTGGGGGTATGTTGATTTGCATTTGTCTGTCGGTCGGTCCGTAGACCAAATGGTTTCCAATCAATACCTAAAGAACGCTTAGGCCTAGGAACTTCAAACTTGGTATGGGAATTTTTCATGATCAGAAAATACCCCCTATCGTTTTTGGGGTATTTAGGTCAAAGGTCAAGGTCAAATTGACCCCAAATGTCAAAATGGTTTTCAAATAATAACATGACAACTCATGGGAGTTTGACCTTCAAATTTCACAGGTGCATTAGTCGTGTCCTGTAGATGATCGCTATTGATTTTGGGGTAAAGGTGTCAAATGTCAAGGTCCTATTGACCTTGTAGGAAAATATTGTTTCCGCTCAATAACTTCAGTCACAACCCATGGGCTCTTGGCCTTCAAACTGCATAGGTGCATTGTTCTTGTTTAGTAGATGACCCCTATTGATTTTGGGGCCAAGGGGTCAAAACAGTTAAAATGGTTTTCAATCAATAACTTGACAACCCATGGTCTATTGTCCCTCAAACTTTGTAGGTGCATTGGTCCTCGCAAGTAGATGACCCCTATTGATTTTGGGTCAGGGGGTCAAAGGTTAAGGTCACAATTACCTTGTGACAATTATCAATAATTCAACAACCCATGGATCTTGACCTTCAAACTTCACAAATGCATTGCTTTTGGTCAGAAGATGTCTTCAATGGATTTTTTGGGGTCAAGGGGTCAGAGGTAAAGATCACAATGACCTTATAGGTAAAACGATTTCTGATCAATATCTCAACATCTCATGGGCCCTTAACCGTCAGTTATACATCGAATGTAATCAATTATCAATCAATTACTCTCTTAAAGTATTTGTAATTTCATTGATTACAGAGGCAAGTCTGAGTAATCAATCATAATCAGTTAAAATATAAATTGGAAAGTAATTGTAATTGAATCAATCACTGATCAATGTAATCATCCCTGTGGTAATATGTCCTCAGTTTTGACTCTGGGACAGCTGAAACTTCTAAGTGATTATTCTGAAATTGAAAAAAAAGAGTGGTTGGGCACAACAAAGAGGCAGGAAGAGAAATGTGTTCCATAGCGCAACGCTTCACAGTAAATGTGTGATTGATCAAATTTCAAGAATAGTTTTAATGCGTTGGTTTAGCATTTTTTCACAAATGCAATCTTGTTTCACAAATGCAAGCTTGTTTCCTTCTATAGCAGGGGCTGTTTAAGTGCGGCTTCCCCGAAGAAGAATTCTTTAAAATCATGCAGTTTTCTCCAAAATTTGAATTAACATCAAGTTTTTTCTTCCCCTTTTGCATATATACCGTATATTCGTATAATTTCCCCCTAGAATTATGGGCCGGGCTACTATCCCAACCTGTGAAAAAAATATAATATCCTTATCAGGTAGAGAAACTTTACACATTACTATGATACAGACAAGGTAAGAATTCAAAAGTTCATTCATGTTTTCCTCTATGGCATGAATGAATGGCCATGACCCTTCAGAATGTTGCTGACATACTTGAGGGGTTCTAAGTGGTAGGGGACTTTTGTTTTGCTTGTAATACTTTGATAATTGCTTGTTTTTAATATTATATGTCTCTAATGAATTCATTGTTGCATATGCAGGTCTAGCAGTCATCAAGACTTGTATCAGTACCTCAAACTTTGCTTATGTTAAGTGTTACACTGTAGGCGCGTCATTAAAAAAAGACTCTTTTACCTGAAACGTTTCTTATTTTAGATATCATGTAATAAATAGAATATTATATTCATGAAGATTTAATACTAAATTTATTGAACTCGCATAATATGATTTTATTTGACTCATTTGATAAATTTATTATTAAATCAACACTCATTTAATATCCTCTCTGTAATACATTATTAAAACATGTTCATTAAAATGATTCTGTATTTATTACTTTCAGAATGATCTGGTATTTTGAACCATCAGTTCTTACAACATTCTCGATTCTTGGCCTGAGTTTGAGTCTCATAGACTTCTTGGTGCCCCTAGTTGGTCCTACAGTACTGGGACGCAGTAAATGGTACGTGATCTACATGTATTTATATCTCAGCCTTGATCCTCTACTAAACATTCAAATTAGGCTGTAAGTAATGGTGAAAAATTGACCTTTGAGAATTTTTACTTAGACACCTTTTTCTGTGGGTACAACTCGGTTATATCGTAGAACATATACTTAACACAAATATTGTTATAAGTCCCCTACTGGTTAACAAAGAGGACTTTAGTTTTTCCATCTGTCCATCTGTGCATCTGTCTATGCCTTCATCAGTCATTTTTACACAACCGATAGGGGTAGGGGGGCATCTAAATTGTGAAAAGAAAAAAGAAAAATAGAGTTATACGGATTTGTAGTCAACAAAATGATCCCTGTAAAGCAAAAAAAATGAATATTTTTATGTTCTTGAAATTTTAGAGGGTACAGAGATTATGAACGTCATTTTTTTTTAAGCCCGAATGTATACAGTTGCAAATTGAGGCAGTACAGAGATTATGAACGTCATTTTAAGCCCGACTATACAGTGTATATTGAGAGATGTCCTGCTTACCTAGCATCAGTGACCACATTCAGTTTTCTGATTTAAGTTCTATGTAGTAAAATCTTTTTTCACTGTAACATCGTTTACTAAATTTTATGGGTGTCACTCTATCGTGGGTGAAATTGAAAAGAAGAGGCTGAATCAAGAAAATAAATGCGGGCCATTTTATTTTTATATTCATTTAGAAAATAAACATTGTGACCAGATTTTTTACTGTTAAAAAGTACTGTTTCATATAACAGTACAAATTTCTTAGTCACATGGTACACTAACATTAACAGTATGAATAAACTCCCAGTGATCTTTGGGAATTAACATTACAAAACAAGTTAGGGGTAATAATATGTTATATGTTGTGTTATTTATGACAGGACTGGTGTGCAGGAGAAGCAATATGAACAGATATGTATCAGGATTCTCAACTTTCGTTATCACATCTCAGATGTAATAGATACAATGGTAACGCTGAAAAATGAGCGACCAAAAGTTGTAAGTTTTTTTCTTGAAAACATTGATGGTTTTCAGAGATTTATTAACAATGGCCATACATATTCTTCACATTTTGATAAACAGTTTCATACTGTTATTCTTCATATCTAGTACCAAGGTTATACTGTCAAATCTTCACATTCATACGAGGGTCATACATAAAGTCATCCTTCACATTTGTAACCAGGGTCATCATACTGTCAAAATAGAGGTATTGTTACTGTCATGTTGGAGTTGCCATCCACAAACTTGTACCTTGATCATAACTTTTTAAATTTTTGGTGTATTGTCTTCATACTTGGTCACAACAACCCTTGGGACAAGACCTTTCAGTAGACCAGACAAACCTTGACCTTAATCCATAAATGACCTTGACATTCAAGGTCAAATGTCCAAATTTTGCTTGTTTTTTGCTATTAGTGGCTATAACTTTGTTATTTTTAAATGGATTGTCTTCAAACTTGGGCATAATAATCTTTTATGATAGCCCTTCAGGTTAACCAAACAGTCATTGACCTTCACTCATATATGACCTTGACTGTGAAGGTCAAATTATTGAAATTTTCATTTTTTAGCTCACCAGAGCATGCTCAGGGTGAGCTTTTAGGATCGATGATTGTCCGTCGTCCGTCCACATTTAGTTGTTAACACTCTAGCGGTCGCATTTTTGCCTCAATCATCATCAAACTTGGTCAGGATGCTTATCTAGTTGATAGCTCGGATGAGTTCGAACATGGGTCATCTCGGATGAGAAACTAGGTCACAAGAGCTAAAAATAGAAAAACCTTGTTAACACTCTAGAGGTCACATTTTTGCCTCAATCATCATCAAACTTGGTCAGGATGTTTGTCTAGGTGATAGCTCGGATGAGTTCGAACATGGGTCATCTCGGATGAAAAAGTAGGTCACCGGAGCTAAAAATAGAAAAACCTTGTTAACACTCTAGCGGTCACATTTTTGCAACAATCATCATCAAACTTGGTCAGGATGCTTATCTAGTTGATAGCTCGGATGAGTTCGAACATGGGTCATCTCGGATGAAAAAGTAGGTCACCGGAGCTAAAAATAGAAAAACCTTGTTAACACTCTAGCGGTCACATTTTTGCATCAAACTTGGTCAAGATGCTTGTCTAGGTGATAGCTCGGATGAGTTTGAACATGGGTCATCTCGGATGAAAAAGTAGGTCACCGGAGCTAAAAATAGAAAAACCTTGTTAACACTCTAGAGGTCACATTTTTGCATCAGTCATCATCAAACTTGGTCAAGATGCTTGTCTAGGTTAAAGCTCAGATGAGTTTGAACATGGGTCATCTCGGATGAAGAACTAGGTCACCGGAGCTAAAAATAGAAAAACCTTGTTAACACTCTAGAGGTCACAATTTTGCATCAATCATCATCAAACTTGATCAAGATGCTTGTCTAGGTGATAGCTCGGATGAGTTCGAACATGGGTCATCTCGGATGAAAAACTAGGTCACAGGAGCTAAAAACAGAAAAACCTTGTTAACACTCTAGTGGTCACAATTTTGACTCAATTGTCATCAAACTTGGTCAGGAAACTTGTCTATGTCATTGCTGGGAATAAATCGAACATGGGTCATCTCAGATGAAAAACTAGGTCACAGGAGCTAAAAATAGAAAAATCATGTTAACACTAGTGGCTACTGTTGTGATCCAAATATTCTGTTAATTGGTCTGAAAGTTTGTTTTGATGATTTCTAAGTCAAGATCGAACATGGGTCATCTTGGATGAAAAACTAGGTCACACCGCCCAAATATGGAAAAACCTTGTTAACATTCTAGTGGTCACATTTTCGAATCAATTATCATCAACTTTGGTCAGGATGCTTGTCTAGGTAATTGCTTGGATGAGTTAGAAATCGCATGTGAAACTAGGTCACCGGAGCAAAAAATAGAAAAATCTTGTTAACACTCTAGTTGCTACTGTTTTGATCCAAGTATCCTGGAAATTCGTCTGAAAGTTTGTTTTGATGATTTCTAGGTCAAGTTTGAATATGTGTCACCTGGGTAAAAAACTAGGTTGCACTGCTCAAATATGGATAATCCTTGTTAACACTGTAGTGGTCACATTTTTGACTCACCTGTCATGAGACTTGGTCAGAATGCTTGTCTAGGTAATTGTTTGGATGAGTTTGATAAGTCAGGTGAGTGATCTAGGGCCATCATGGCCCTCTTGTTTTGGATAGGTCCTTCATGTATATTAAACTCAAGTTTACCTTGACTCTTTTATGACCTTGACCTTGAAGGTTAAATTATTGAATTTTCAATGATTTTTGCTGTAATTGACTGTAACTTGGTAATTAATAAATGGATTATCTTAATACTTTCATATGTTTTAGGCATACAGCAGTGTCATGCTTTATTTTGTATTTCAAAATAATTTTGATTATCTATGCATTTATATTGATATATTCACTTAAATAAATAGTATTAAGTACTTTGAATAACTTATATTTCAGGATTATCATTTGGAATCATTATGTATGTATCAGACTATCAGTGTGTAATTTTTGTGTTTATTTTAGTATTTCCTGCTGGTTATGGGCTTCCTGACTTTGTTTGCATGGATTGGCAGCAAGATGGACAACCTTCTTCTTACCTTCCTTATATGTAAGTCAAGGCTGTCTTAAAAGAATATTAAGTGGAACTGCATATTTATATGTCAAAGCCCTCTGTTGTTATCATAATATCTGTAGTATTTGAACTGACATATATAATGTCTCTTCCTATTTTCTTCAAATTACATCTCAAATGATATATTTTGGCCAATGATGATGGAACTTGCCAGAGGCTGTTCTTCTATCAAATCTGTACAAATGATTTCATTCCAAGAAAAACACTGATTTCCATGCCAACCAAAAGCAGAATCTGTAGAATTTTTCTTTTGCATAAACTGCATGGCATACAGCTCATATGTAGCATCCCCTATAAGTCAACTACAAAAGTTGTTCAAATCATGGCACAGGACTGACATACATTTTGTTAGTTGATATTGACTCTATCCTTCTCTTTACTACTTTTCATAGTCTTATATAGCAAAAAGACAGCATACCTGGTAAACAATATAATCAGTGATGTATGCCACAAATGTACTTATCATGTTACTTTCATGATTATGATTAAAGTGGAGAACCTGCATATTTTTCTTTTTAGCTCTACTTTTTTTCAAAGTAAAAATTTAGAGAAATTGTGACAGTCATGGTTCCTATGATTGCTTTTGCCATCCCCAAAACTTGAACATTGATAATAACTTTTTAATTTCTTTGTGTATTGTCTTCATCTTTGGCCATAACAACCCTTAGGGCAATCCCTTTAAGTAGACCAGACTAAATATGACCTTTATTCATAAATGACCTTGACCTTCTAGGTAAAATGTCTTAATTTTGCTTGATTTTTACTGATTTTTTTTTCTCCGTTGTCTGTCTGTGTCCATCCGTCTCTGTCACAAAACTTTTTTTTTGAACTACTCAGAAACTGCAGGTGCAATTTCATCCAAACTATAGGAATGATCAGTACCAAGTCTAGTTGTATATGTAATCGGCATTGGAAAAAAAAATTATGCTCGCCATAAAATGGCCAGGGCATATAGTGTAACCTTGTTCTGTCATTCCGTCATCATCAGTTTCTGTTCATTGTCTTGGCAACAGTTGCACGCATTCAACTCAAATTTGACAAAATATATACAGGTAAATGTAGGTAAAGTTGGAATTTGGACATGGTTATATGATTTTTGACAGTTATGCCCCTTGAAGAAACTTTAGTTTTAGTTCATTTTCTCCAAAAGAACTGTACACATTCAACTCAAATTTGACATATTGATACATCAAAATAATGCCCAGGTCAAGTTCAATTTGGAATTTTGCATTCAAGTAATTGGTATAGACCTTCATCAAATGGAATGTCAATCTAGAAAAGTTATTTTCAGTCAAATTAATCTAGAAAAGTTATTTCCATTCAAATCATGTTAAAAAAAACTAAGTTTGACCCTTTTAAAGCATGAAAGGTATAATGTTTATTTTTTTCTTTTCCAGTGAATCTCACCTTACTGATGCCAGGTATGAGAAGGCAGAAGGTCATTCAAGGTTACCTGAACAAAATTGGAGCTGTATTTAAGAAAACAGTGCTTGGAAAATCGAAGACAAAATAAAGCAGGGGTGGTGATCCATACGACCACACCTGTGACATTTTGAACTAATTTTAATTGTGCAATACATTTGTATTTTTGGGGGCTTAAAAGATTGGTGATGGTCATTGTTGGCTTTAGATAATTTATTCAAGCAGAAAATCAGACAGAGAAGTATTAACCACTGCAGTGCCAGATACATGAAGAAAATCCTTCCAAACATACTTACATTTCTGTCCCCACAATAGAATATAAGGATTATAACATAGATTATAAAGAACAAGGTTTTTTTTATGCCACTGCAGCATCTATGATGCAGTAGCATATGGTGATTCACCTCTGTCTGTGTGTGTGTGTGCGCGTGCATGTGTGTGCATGCGCATGTGTGGATAAGTGAACTTAAAAAAGTCTTTTTCTAATCCACTAGTCCATTTTCAACTAAACTTAACGGGATTATTCTTTAAAGGCTTCAAAAGTTGTTCAAAGAATTTCATTCTATGCAGAAATCTGGTTGACATGGCAACCAAAAGAAATTATAAGAAGATATTTAAAAATCTTCTCAAGAACCACAAGGCCAAGAGCATAGATATTTGGATAAGGCATTGTCTGGTGGACCTCTACCAAGATTCTAATTATAGTCCTGCCATCAATATTTTCCCGCCCTGGGTTAATGTTATGAAAAGAAAAATTTGACCTAGTGACCTACATCCTGATATACAACTGACCTCCAAATTCTCTAAATCTATTTTTTCTAAAACAAAAAAAATGAACTACTGCTGTTCTTACTATTTTATGTTGTATATTGCGGTGGCAGCATTTTTTTCACAAATGCAATCTTGATTATTATTCTTTTGTCATTATTTGTGTTGCAATTTTATAGTGCCTTTCAATAATTTTGGTTTAGAATATTAGCAATGCATTACAATTTTAATTAAAATCCACCATTCCATCCATGTATCCATTTATCAATTACAATCCTACCGGTTTAACCAGAGGGGACTTAAGGTTTACCCTCGTCTGTCTGTCTGTCCAATCGTCGGTCCGTCTGTCCACAAAAACTGAATCCTGTGATAACGTAAAAAGTACTGAAAACATTTTTATGAAACTTTAAGAATAGGTAGATGGCAGTCTAGAGATTATGCACATCTTTTTCTTTTCTTTCAATGTCCTGGAATAAATGAAATAATAGAGCACCTTAAAGCCTGTTCAGTATTTTTGTCTAATGGTGAAGAATTATATTTCCTTCATGAGTAATGATGGAAATTCCTCCCACTTTTAGTCTTTAATCATTCCACAAATTTGGACGCTCCCCAAGAGTTTTTCAGCATCATGTTCACTCCATCTTACTACTATGTTTACATTTTAGCGAATTTCATTCATTAAACACTTTATCAAGAGATAATTGGGAAAATCTGTCATCATGGGAGGTCTATACAACAAGAATTAAGAGATAGAACATGTCTTATCCTATAAATCTAGTATTAAGTTGTACAAATTCAAAAATAAGTAGCCTTTACATAAAAATATTAGTTTGTACATCTAAGTTTTAGCTGGTGTTGTACTCGTCGGTTGAGGTCTTTAGTATGATAAAAAAGATTTAGGTTCATTAATGTCTTCCACAATGGCATAATTGAATAGCCATAACCCTTCAGAATGTTGCTGACATATTCTTGTGGGGTTCTATCTGGTAGGGGACTTTTGTATTGCTTGCAATGCTTTGATAATTGCTTGTTCTTAATGCTGTTTATTATGCCCCCGCCATATAATGGCTGGAGCATATAGTGTTACCCTGTTCCGTCATTCTGTCATTCCGTCATCATCAGTTTCCGTTCATTATCTTAGTAAATGCTGCACACATTCAACTCAAATTTGACATATAGATATGTCATGAGAAAATACAGGTCAAGTTTGAATTTGGTCATGGTTCGATAATTTTTGGCAGAGTTATGCCCCTTTCACTTTGAAAATAGTATGAAATTTTCAGTTTCATTCATTATCTCCCCAACGATATTACACATTCAACTCAAACTTGACATATAGTTATGTCAAAGGAATGGGCAGGTCAAGTTCGAATTTGGTCATGGTTTGATGATTTTGGCAGAGTTATGCCCCTTTAACTTTGAAAAAAAAGGAAATTTTCAGTTCCCATTCATTATCTCCCCAACAGTTGTACATATTCAACTCAAATTTAACATATGGATATGTCATAAGAATGCGTTGGTCAATTTCGAATTTTGTCATGGTTTGATGATAGCTGACAGTTATCTTAAACTTTGAAAAAAATCAGAAATTTTTAGTTTCCGTTCATTATCTCCCCAATGGTTGTACACATTCAACTCAAATTTAACATATAGATACATCTTAGGAATAAGCAGTTCAAGTTTGAATTTGGTCATGGTTCAATGATTTTGGACAAAGTTATCTCTCTTGAATGTTGGAAAAAGTTTGAATTTTTAGCTTCAGCACTCATACTTTTGTGGAAATGTATGTAGCCATTATTTTGGCTATAAATATGCAATATTCAATTTACTAAAGGTCAAAACTGAATAGTTTCAGTGCCTTGAACTTTGTATAAAAATGGTTTGTGTTGACATTAAATAGTTTTAAGGGCTTTGAACTTAAAATGAAAAAAATAGTTTGTGCAAACAAATTTGGAACTAAATATTATAACATCTGAAATTTTGGCTGCATGCGGGGGCATCCGTGGCGTGATGACATATTTCTAGTCTTGTATCATTACATATTTCATTATAACTTATGTTTGCCATGTTTGTATATATGTTTTGCCATCATTCTTCAATTATGTGCCAAAGTTCATCAGACTTTTGTTGTTTTATTGAGTTTATGCTTTAACATTTGTTTGTTTTAGTGTCACATGCTTCTTGAATATTATTTAATAGTCTAAACCATCATGATTCATGAAATCATTTAACTAATAATTGACATTGAAGGTCTCAAAGTATTGAAATTTTCAGCCACTCAAAGGTCAAGGTCACACTTGGTGGGTTGGCGCAAAACCCGTGTCCGGAACATAACTTCTACATGCTTGGCAGGATTTTAATATAGCTTTGGACAAATGTTCTCCATAGTAAGGTGGAGTTTCGCGCGTAAAATAAAGGGTGTCTGTTGCAATGGTCAAGGTCCTATTACAGGGTCAAAGGTCAAATAAATTAAATCATTCATTTGTGAGTATAACTTAACAAATGTTCTCCATGGTGAGTTGAGTTGTCTAGTGCAAAATGAAGGTCAAGGTCACAAGAGGTCAAATAAAAATATCAAAATTTGTCTTCACTGTATTTTGCTTATGCCATGGGCATGTCTTGTTTCTGTAACTGGCTAAAACTTTGTTATAAATGAATGGATTTACTTCATTTTGGGACATGTCATTCTTTAGGATAAGACCTTCTGTGTTTCAAACTCAAGTTGACCTTGGCTCATTACTTCCAGTTTACACAGAATTTTACTTGTGAATAACAATACCTCCAAGCATCAACCAAAATATTTGTCTCCCATAGTGTGTTGCTCTGCAGAGATTATAATGATATACAAATATCTGTTTGTAAATTAAGTTTGTACTCATTTATACTACTAGCAATTGATGTATGAAAATATTTGGAACATTTTACATATATTAGTAATATATGTCATGCCATTCAGGTGTATATGTTTTATTTCAATCAGTTGTATTAGTATAAAATTTAAATAATTCTTTTTGTGTGTTGAGAAATGTTTGTAAACCATTACCTTCTATGTACCAGTTAATACATGTATTTATCGTGAAATAGATTTTGTACATTGTATTGTAAATTTGGTTGAAGTATTCAATCAGTATTGATCTTCTGTATTAATGATTTAAATCTCACCAATCTGTAGTATGCAGTAAATTTAAATAATGCTATATCTGTATGGTTTTCTCCACATTTCTTTTACATTTTTGTTGTTCAGAGTGGATAAACATGTATGGCAAAAATATGTTGAGATTTTGACCATTTTGAAAATGTTGCTTTTGTATTATAAAAATATTGTAACAATCTTATTAATAATTTGTTGTTGTAATGTAAAGGTATAACTTGTCATTTTATTGTGAAAAATGTGCTATCAACCACATCTGTAAATATTTTACCTTCATGTAGATCTATAAGAATTTCCTCTGTAAATTTTTCGTTCACAGTTACAAATAATTTTCAACAGTGATCTATTAGGATTAGTCAGCTGTTCGTCATTCTAAATTTGAATTTCTAAAACTCAGTAGGTCACTGTTTTGTTTTGTTTTTCATCAAACTTTATCAGTCTTAATGATGTTTGTGACAAATTCGAATATGAATCATCTGGAGTCAAAATTATCACCATGTCTTACTAAAGGAAAACCTATTTAACACTCTAACAGTGACATTTTGATAATTTGAGATTTGTTTCATATTTAATGTCGTAACCAGTCAATAACATGACTTGTTACAAAGAAAAATTCAGACTTTGCTGGCTCTTGAGTGATTGTAAAATAAACAGAGTTGCATTCAGGTGAGCAACAAAAGGGCCATCATGACTTTCTTACTGTTAACTATGTAAAAGTGTGGGATTTCTGTGTTGATTTATTTCTTCACAATATGGTATAGTTAGTACTAACACTTTATTTATTTGAATGCATTTTATTAATTTCTTCATTTCTCATATAATGTGTTTTACTTTTTTTTTTAGCTTTATTAAAATTTATTCCTTATTTAATCTGTCTGCTGTTGTTTTTGTTTTCTATATCTTTGCTGTTAACCACTAAACAATTTATGTTGATGCATCAAAGCTTTAAAGTGTATATAGTTATATCTTATGAAATATTTTATAAAATTTATCAACAGTAAAATTGAATTGTTTCCATAATCTTATGTTTGATTCTCAAAAAAGTTGTAACATTGAATGTCTCTGTTATTTAATATATAGAGGATATTGAATGAGTGTAGGTTAAATACTTAATTTGTTGAACGAGTTGAATAAAATGATATTATGCGAGCCTCTGGCGAGCATAATATTGTTTTATTCAACGAGTTTAATAAATTTAGTATTGAATCTGCACGAATATAATATTCTATTTATCACATATATAAAATAAGAACGGTAAACTGTTATCAAGAGTCTTTTTTTGACGCGCCTGTAATGTAACACTAACATTAGCGCGCTTTAACGCTATGTTTATAGCGCAAATGACGTGACATCAAAGTGTTATTACACTAGTGTAATATCGTCTAGTGTTATATCGTTTTTATTAAATGGTTTTATTACACTCCTGCGCCGCGGTTTATGTGATAAATATGAATAATGTATGTAAACAGAATAATATATTCTAGAACAAAATATTATACTTTCATTTTACATAGGGTTTTATCCATATGCCAATGACTTCATGCATACGCTGTTTGCTTTTAAGGCAGTTTACTACCATATTTTATTTCATACAAGCATTTATGAAGTATTCTTTTTTTTTTAATTCAAACAATAGTTTCTTGCAACAGATATATATGTTTGTACAAATGTTTATTATTTTATATCTGTGAAGGCATCTTGATTCTGGACTTGCATACAAACTTAAAATAATATATCATTTGCAAAAATAAGAGGACCAAAAGGTTCTGTACTGATTATTACCTTGTGAAAGTATAAAATGTAAAAATAAACACATATATTGTGTTGAATTCAAAACAAGAAGACAATATTAGAGAAAAACAGCAGAAATGTACCATTTTTAGACATTTATGTTAATGAAAATTTTCATAGAAGCATTGAAGCATTAAGGAGTACAATGTAATTACTACACAAACAATAATTTGATAGGTTATCAGGTAAAAAAGTAACAAATATAATAGAATTAGGATTTTATTTTTGATGTTAGACTGTATTTGTTTTCCCACCTCTGTAAGGTTTCATTACTTGTCATACAATAAAGATTTTAAATATTCAAATGTGTCCCGTTTTTTCTCTAAAGGATATTGTTAAAGCAATACCAATGAATATGATAACATCAGTTTGTATCTATGAAAAATAATTGTCTGAAATGTGTCCATTTGGCAAGACTGTAATTTATACTTGTTTGTCAACAAAAAAAGAAACAAAATCATCTTTGTTTTCTTTTCTCAAAAGAATGGTTACTTTAATATCAAGAATTTTCAACAATGGAAAATCTTGATTATTGCTTGATCTTCATGTGGCGCAATAAATTCATCAAATAAATAACATCCTGTGAATGCATCATTATAAATACATTGGCAGTTTTATCATGTACATAAAGGGAGACTTTGGCCTCAAAGTGTGACCTTGACCTTTGTGGAAGAGATCTGGGTGTTGCATGTGCAATGTCTTAGTATTGCCCCCACCCCCGGACAAAGCCCCCCATCTAAAAATGACAAGGTGGACAAAATCATACAGGATCTTTAAAAACCGGGAGGCTGTAAAACTAGGGTGAGACTTGCTTAGTGTCCCACTCCAACTCCTACTTTTCTAACTGATTCTTTCATAGCAGACTGGCGTTTCCGTGAGTTTTACCCATGCTGGAAATTTCATCTGGCATGGGGGTGTGCCACGTGAGTTGCGTGCCAAACAATGTCATTTTAGCGCACTTTATGAATGAACCGCGTTAAAATGACATTGTTTTAGAAGGGAAATATGAGCTTAGGATGACGTCATTACGCCGTTGTTATTTAAGTTGTAAGTTAGTCATACGCTACTGTAAGAAAATAGTTATGGATGAAATGACTTTAATTTCCATGAACATATACCATATTGAGGTAAACCATTTTAAATATGAAATAATATGCAAGAAAAAATATCTGACATGTTTACGGTTCGGGATATCCGTCCCTCGGGAACTCGCCCATGGGCGGTAACTCGGCAAGCCTCGTTACAGCCCAATGGCCGGGTCCCGTCGGGAGGGATATTCGGGTCCGAACAGCAACATATGACAGATATTCTCATTTCAGTAATTTTATAGGATGACTGATTTGTTTGCAGATGTCAAAACAATGTATATTGTAGTATCATCTGCAAACAAGGACCTGGGAATTCATGTTTTGTGGGTGGTCATTTATATAAGCGAGAAACAGCCTAAAACAGGAGGGGTCTTAGAACTGAGCCTTGGGCGACACCTGAGGATACTGGGATCATGTTTGAGCTGTTGCCATATAGCACAACAGACTGCAGCGTTATTTAGAAAACTTTTGACCCATCTTAAAGTTTGACCTCTGATTCCATAGTCATGTATTTTCAGCACAAAAATTTGGGATGTGGAGCTCAAAACGCATTTCATTTCCAAATAATATGTATATTTGTCAATCCCAGCACATGGACTTATTCATATATTAAAAAAACTTAATATAAGCCGTTTTGAAAACAAAATTCTATTTCAATGTCTATAATAAAAATTGCCCGTAATGAAATCTAAGAGAAACAAATTTTCTTGCTTTTTCTCAACCCTACATTCCCTATATAACAAAATCTTGATGTGTCAGGCATGTCATTCGCCTACAAAATCACATCTGTAGCAAAAATACTTAAGGGTCATTTCTTATAATGTAAGTCTACTGAATGGAAAATTCAATACAATAGTCTGACCGTCAATACGATCATGACCGATTTCAAGAAAACAAATAGAAAAAACTTTCGAAAGAGGAAGCAGTCTTCTGACAGTGATCTGGATTCAGATGGAAATGAAGAGACAATGTAAGAATGTTGGTACATAATGTTATTTTTATTCAAAATAACTGAACAGTATCTGAGTAATGACTTAATAAATGTAATGACATGTATTTTCGCGACATCATAAATGTCATAAATGACTGCCCGTCTAGGAGGCGCCCCTGTGGACATAATTGCGGGGTTTTACACTGGATTTCCGGGCATTCTAATGTAAATATGATAAAGACATGCAGTCATCGAAATTAAGATTTTGAATTTACTGGCCCTAATTCAAGTTTTGAATTTATTCTACTAGCTATATATATACTAGCCCACAGGACCCCGAAATTCTATCCAAAACAGAAAAATAACGATTTTAAAAAAAAATCCCCTATATTTTTTATAGTATATATAGGGGATTTTTTTTAAAATCGTTATTTTTCTGTTTTGGATTGAATTTCGGGGTCCTGTGATGAGCCTAAACATAACCATGAACTTTAATTACAAGGATCAGAAAAATATTCACAGGCGATTAAAGATGCAATATTTCATTTTAATTGAGTTATGTAGTCGTATTTATTGATGCACAGTTGTTTAACGGGTTATTATTATTATTTTCACTTAAACTTCTTCATTTCTTAAAGGATTTACTTAAAAATTCCTCATCATAATAATATGACAACATTTATAAATCTAGCGTCCATATTTCCAAAGTTATCTACCCCTTAAACTTTGAATTTTCCTAATTTATACTATTACAGTCGAGACTGTCATATGTGACTTTCCAAGGGACCTTCAGAAAAAGGTCACATATGACAGGGAGTCTCTTAATACAGTCTCATAGAAAATTAAAATTCAAATACCATATGTCTATATACCATTGTGACTGAACATATACTGGGATCCTACATATTACCGGACAAAATATGATGTTTTTTATATGTAACTTTTATTTAAAATAATAAAAAAGAATTGAATTAAACCCAAATAATTTTGGGTTCTAAATACACGTTAACATTACTTTATCAAACATAAAATCAAACATATGACTGTTGAAATGTGTCTTTAAAGTAGGGAATTATAAGAGAGAAAAAAACGTGTAGACAACTCAATTTACCGGACATTAATTGTGTTTCAAAAATTTTTGAAGTCGTGAATTAAAATTAATCTTTAAATAATCAGCAAGGAAACTACGACTATTGAAAGGCAATGTTAAGACATTGGAAAAACCCAGTATGTCACTAGAAATAGACACGGCAGCCGTGCCTGTTTAGAAGAGGCCCATATATAAGGTGTAATTGAAATTAACACTATTAACTCAATTAACGTATTGATTCTTCATGAACATATTAAACATTTTGATATTCAAATGGAATTCTGTTCTTTGTCATACAGTTTCCTTTTGGTCATCGTGTAGTATGTTACAAAAGCGATAAAATCTATTTTAGGCCTAAAAAAAAATAAGTTTGTTTCTGGTAACCCGACCGACCGTAACATTTTAGCGCCAACTGAAACTTTTTTACAGCCTTCCAAAAAAATAATCGGACAAAAAGCCGTCCCGGTACGGGCGTAGCAGATTTTATACGGAAGTTATCCCTCTTGAACTTCGAAAAATCAGAAATTTCTAGAAAAATAGTTAAGAGATTTCTTTTAAACTTTTTTTGTTTATTGAGCATAATGTATAACATGAACTGAAAGAAAAATATTTGGTAACTGTCACTTTTGTAGCAAAAATGTACTTTCTTAATAGCTCACACTCTAGCGGTCACATTTTTGCCTCAATCATCATCAAACTTGGTCAGGATGCTTATGTAGGTGATAGCTGGGATGAGTTCGAACATGGGTCATCTCGGATGAAAAACTAGGTCACCGGAGCTAAAAATAGAAAAACCTTGTTAACACTCTAGCGGTCACATTTTCGCCTCAATCATCATCAAACTTGGTCAGGATGCTTATCTAGGTGATAGCTGGGATGAGTTCGAACATGGGTCATCTCGGATGAAAAACTAGGTCACTGGAGCTAAAAATTGAAAAAACTTGTTAACACTCTAGCCATCACATTTTTGCCTCAATCATCATCAAACTTGGTCAGGATGCTTGTCTAGGTGATGGCTTGGATGAGTTCGAACATGGGTCATCTCAGATTAAAAACTAGGTCACAGGAGCTAAAAATAGAAAAACCTTGTTAACACTCTAGCGGTCACATTTTTGCCTCAATCATCATCAAACTTTGTCAGGATGCTTGTCTAGGTGATACTTGCTTGGATGAGTTCGAACATGGGTCATCTGGGATGAAAAACTAGGTCACAGGTGCTTAAAATAGAAAAATCTTGTTAACACTCTAGTGGCTACTGTTTTGATCCAAATATCCTGTAAATTGGTCTGACAGTTTATTTTGATGATTTCTATGTCAAGTTCGAACATGGGTCATCTGGGATAAAAAACAAGGTCACACTGCCCAAATATGGAAAAACATTGTTAACATTCTAGTGGTCACATTTTTGACTCAATTATCATCAAACTTGGTCAGTATGCTTGTCTAGGTAATTGCTCGGATGAGTTCGAACATGGGTCATCTCGGATGAAAAACTAGGTCACACTGCCCAAATATGGAAAAACCTTGTTAACATTCTAGTGGTCACATTCATCAAACTTGGTCAGTATGCTTGTCTAGGTAATTGCTCGGATGAGTTCGAACATGGGTCATCTCGCATGAAAAACTAGGTCACAGAGCTAAAAAAGACAAATCTTGTTAAGCTAGTGGCTACTGTTTTGATCCAAGTATCCTGGAAATTGGTCTGAAAGTTTTTTTTGATGATTTCTAGGTCAAGTTCGAATATGGGTCACCTGGGGTCAAAAACTAGGTCACACTTCTCAAATATGGATAATCCTTGTTAACACTCTAGTGGTCACATTTTTGACTCACCTGTTATGAAACTTGGTCAGAATGCTTGTCTAGGTAATTGTTCAAATGAGTTTGATGGGTCAGATGAGCGATCTAGGGCCATCTTGTTTATATTGTGTGAGCATATTAAAATATAGTTTTTAAGTAAACTTTGATTTTTTGTATGGGAACTACACTTGCATGCCAGTATGTTCATATCAACACCTACACATCATATGTGATTACATTTATAAGTCTAGCACCTGGATTTCCATGATTATTTTTATTTTGAACTAAGTAGAATACATTTAATAATTGTTATATTTTTTCTTCTTTGTTACTATAAATGGTATATGTTTGAAAATTGTTATTTTTTTAGATTTCTTCTTTGTTACTATAAAGGTACTT